GGAGTATCGACATTTTTACTATGTTGATTCTACCAATCCATGAGCATGGGAGATCTCTCCACTTTCTATAGTCTTCCTCAATCTCTTTCTTCAGAAGTGTATAGTTTTCCTTGTAGAGGTCTTTCACATCTTTTGTTAGGTTTACACCTAGGTATTTGATTTTTTTTGAGGCTATTGTAAATGGAATTGTTTTCATACATTCTTTTTCCGTTTGCTCATTGTTAGTGTATAGAAATGCTAATGATTTTTCTATGTTGATTTTATATCCTGCTACCTTGCAATAGCTATTGATGATGTCTAGAAGCTTCTGAGTAGAGCTTTTTGGGTCTTTAAGGTATAGGATCATGTCGTCTGCAAATAGGGATATTTTGACAGTTTCTTTACCTATTTGTATTCCTTTTATTCCTTCTTCTTGCCTAATTGCTCTGGCTAGGAATTCCAGTACTATGTTGAATAGGAGTAGAGATAGTGGGCATCTTTGTCTGGTTCCTGATTTTAGAGGGAATGGTTTCAGTTTTTCTCCATTAAGTATAATGCTGGCTGTAGGTTTGTCAGATATAGCTTTTATAATGTTGAGGTACTTTCCTTCTATTCCTAGTTTTCTTAGAGCTTTTATCATGAAATGGTGTTGGATCTTATTAAAGGCTTTTCTGCATCTATTGAGATGATCAGGTGGTTTTTGTCTTTGCTTCTGTTAATGTGGTTTATTACGTTTATTGATTTTCATATGTTGAACCACCCCTGCATCCCTGGGATGAAGCCTACCTGGTCGTGGTGAATAATCTTTTTGATGTGTTGTTGAATTCGGTTTGCCATTATTTTGTTGAGGATTTTTGCGTCAATGTTCATTAAAGAGATTGGCCTGTAGTTCTCCTTTTTGGAGGTGTCTTTGTCTGGTTTTGGGATAAGTGTAATACTGGCTTCATAAAATGTGTTTGGCAGTTTTCCTTCCCTTTCTATTTCGTGGAACAGTTTAAGGAGGGTTGGTATCAGTTCTTCTTTAAAGGTCTGATAGAATTCAGCAAAGAATCCATCAGGTCCTGGACTTTTCTTTTTGGGGAGACTCTTGATTGCTGCTTCAATTTCATTTTGTGTGTTATAGGTCTATTCAGGTGATTAATTTCCTCTTGGTTCAGTTTTGGATACTCATATGTATCTAGAAATCTGTCCCTTTCTTTAAAATTTTCAAATTTATTGGAGGCTACTTAAAAAGCTGGACATCGATCTACCATTTGATCCAGCAATACCACTCTTGGGGATATACCCAAAAGACTGTTACTCCAGAGGCACCTACATCCATGTTATTTGCGGCACAATAGCCAAGTTATGGAAACAGCCAGATGCCCCAGCACTGACGAATGGATTAAGAAAATGTGGTATCTATACACGATGGAATTTTATGCAGCCATGAAGAAGAACGAAATGTTATCATTCGCTGGTAAATGGATGGAATTGGAGAACATCATTCTGAGTGAGGTTAGCCTGGCCCAAAAGACCAAAAATCGTATGTTCTCCCTCATATGTGGACATTAGATCAAGGGCAAACACAACAAGGGGATTGGACTATGGGCACATGATAAAGGCGAGAGCACACAAGGGAGGGGTGAGGATAGGTAAGACACCTAAAAAACTAGCTAGCATTTGTTGCCCTTAACGCAGAGAAACTAAAGCAGATACCTTAAAGCAACTGAGGCCAATAGGAAAGGGGAACAGTACTAGAGAAAAGGTTAGATGAAAAAGAATTAACCTAGAAGGTAACACCCACGCACAGGAAATCAATGTGAGTCAATGCCCTGTATAGCTATCCTTATCTCAACCAGCAAAAACCCTGTTCCTTCCTATTATTGCTTATACTCTCTCTACAACAAAATTAGAAATAAGGGCAAAATAGTTTCTGCTGGATATTGAGGGGGGGGGGGAGCGGGAGGGGGCGGAGTGGGTGGTAAGGGAGGGGGTGGGGGCAGGGGGGAGAAATGAACCAAGCCTTGTATGCACATATAAATAATAAAAGAAAAATGAAAAAAAAATTTTCAAATTTATTTGAATATAGGTTCTCAAAGTAGTCTCTGATGATTTCCTGGACTTCCATGGTGTTTTTTGTTATCTCCCCTTTTGCATTCCTGATTCTACTAATTTGGGTTTTTTTCTCTCCTCATTTTAGTCAGGTTTGCCAGGGGCCTATCGATCTTGTTTATTTTTTCAAAGAACCAACTTTTTGTTTCATTAATTCTTTGTATGGTTTTTTTTGGTTTCTATTTCATTGATTTCAGCTCTTATTTTTATTATTTCTCTCCTTCTATTTGTTTTGGGATTTGCTTGTTCTTGTTTTTCTAGGAGTTTGAGATGTATCATTAGGTCATTGATTTGGGATCTTTCATTCTTTTTAATATATGCACTCATGGCTATAAACTTTCCTCTCAGGACTGCCTCAGCTGTGTCCCATAGGTTCTGGTAGGTTGTGTTTTCATTTTCATTAACTTCCAGGAACTTTTTAATTTCCTCTTTTATTTCATTGATGATCCATTCTTCATTAAGTAATGAGTTATTTAGTTTCCAGCTGTTTGCATGTTTTTTGTCTTTACTTTTGTTGTTGAGTTCTACTTTTACTGCATTGTGATCAGATAGTATGCACGGTATAATTTCTATTTTCTTGTATTTGCTGAGACTTGCTTTGTGCCCTAGGATATGATCTATTTTGGAGAAGAAGGTTCCATGGGCTGCTGAGAAGAATGTATATTGTGTAGAAGTTGGATGAAATGTTCTGTAGACATCTACTAGGTCCACTTGATCTATTGCATATTTTAGATCTTGGATTTCTTTATTGATTTTTTGTATGGATGACCTATCTATTGATGATATGGATTGTTAAAGTCTCCCACAACCACTGTGTTGGCGTTTATATATGCTTTTAGGTCTTTCAGGGTATGTTTGATGAAATTGGGTGCGTTGACATTGGGTGCGTACAGATTGATGATTATTATTTCCTTTTGGTCTATTTCCCCTTTTATTAGTATGGAATGTCCTTCTTTATCTCGTTTGATCAATGTAGGTTTGAAGTCTACTTTGTCAGAGATAAGTATTGCTACTCCTGCCTGTTTTCGGGGGCCATTGGCTTGGTAAATCTCCTACAGAGTATCTTTCTAAGCCTCATAGAATTTTATTTGTGTCAATTTTATGACATAGCATAACATGGCATTACAGGCTTTGTATGCATTACTTCTCCTTTTTTAAGTCTCCTTTAGTCTGATCAGCTGTTTACTTCCACAACCTCCAGGCAAACACCTGGCACATAAAATGCTAACTAGATCTTAGGAGCACTTATTCTTTGCAAGCCACTGTGTTAAGGATTTTTAAAGGAATCATGACACAAACCTTACAGCAACCCAGTTAGCAATTTTTAGTCACTAACTGTGACAGATAAAATACTGGATGCACCTTTAACTCCATGAAAAAGTATCATATCCTACCTCGAGAAGTTGACAATCTAGGGAGGTTGGTGCATTAATATCCTCAGGTATAAAGATGAAGAAAGTGAGGCTGAAAGGTGTCATTTGTTTGCCTGGAATCTCACAGTAAGAAAGGGGCAAAGTCAGAATTCAGACCAGCTCCGCAGTCTGTGTATAGGGACTATACACAGAACCCCTGTGTTCGAAAGGAGGCACCTGATAGTCACTTATGGAAGAAAAAGTTGTGGAACACTCCTAAAATGAAGTCAACTTACGAATGACAAAGGGTTTCACTCCCTGGTCTTTGGGGGCGAGGGGCAGGAAATGAGCAAAATTGCTGATTGAAGTGTAGTTGTATCCTTGTACTTATCTGGACGTTGTCACTGCTAACTAAACCCCATCTATTGAGACAGGATTAAAGATGTCTCTTTAAGTGATCCTCATTGAGCAGTGTCCCTTAAAGTGGGCCCTCCTCTGCTCACTGAGCGGTGTGGCCGAGTCACTAAGTAGCAGTGAGACCTTGGGTTTGTCTCCCATAGCTGAGTGGAGTGATAGGTAACGATGCACACAGATCCTGACTGAGAAATGGTGCAATTCTTTTTTTTAATTTAATTTTTAATTTTTATTTTATTCATATGTGCATACAATGTTTGGGTCATTTCTCCCCCCTTCCCCCCTTCTCCTCCCTTCCCCCCCCACACCTCCCTTACCCCTCGCTACCTGGCAGAAACTATTTTGCCTTTATGTCTAATTTTGCTGAAGAGAGAGTATAAGCAATAATAGGGAGGGCCAAGGTTTTGGTGCAATTATTCTTTTTTTTTTCTTTTATTATTCATATGTACATACAAAGCTTGGTTCATTTATTCTTGAATAAATGCAATTATTCTTGAAGGGTGGATTTAAATCCCAAGAGCAAGAAGCTTCCAAAGACCCTGCAAGTCCCCGAGCGCCCCCTGCCCTGTGAGCCCGAACACTGCCTTCCTGCTCCATCCCGAGCTGTCAGTTAGGCTGACGGACGGACAGAGATCCCTTCTCCGAACGCCACCTTGGCAGCAGCGCTGTTTGGCCTAATCATCTTTTCAAACAGAAGTGGCCCAAAATAGAGGTTAGCAGGAACAGGCGCTGGAGGCGCCTCCAACAGGAGACCACCTGACTTTACACCACGTTCACCGAGCTAAGCGGCGGAGAAGACCTCTAAGACCATGCCCGGGCCGGAGTGGTCTGGGCCGCGGGAACCACCCAGGACTCCGGACTGCGTACTCCGCAAGCCGCGAGGTCCAGTCCCGCCCTCTACGCTCAGCAGTCACCCCGGCAACACGCTCGTCCGGCGGTGATCTGACGTAGAGAGCGTGGCTGGGGCCAGCCCCGCGCCCGTCGCCCCGCCTCTTCCCTCCTTCCACCAATAGCTTGCTGTGTGGGCGGGCACCAGGAGCTCCGGATCGGCCCCCTTCCCTGGGAACGCTGAGCGCATGCGCCTGGAAGAGCGGGCCGGGTGAGGGGGCTCTTTACCAGGGGGAGGGGGCCGGAAGTGGAAGGGGCCTGCGCCCACAGCCTCTCCCGGGCCGGGCGCCCGCTGGGATGGACGTTGCGGGGGAGGGAACGGGGTGGTCTCCGAGGAAGTCAAGGCCGGGGCTCCTAGCCAGAGCCGGAGCAGGCAGCTGACCCGCCGGTGTTTGTGTGTAGCGCCTGCCCAGGGAGACATGGAGAAGTGCTTGGCGGCAGCGGCGCTGAACGGGGTGGACCGACGTTCCTTGCAGCGTTCGGCGAGGCTGGGTCAAGAAGTGCTGGAGCGGGCCAGGAGGAGGGCGGTGGACTGGCATTCGCAGGAGCGTCCCAGGGGCAGCACAGGGGACCTCTTCCAGCCGGGGCCCGGACCCCAGCGCCTTCTCCCAGGAGAGGTGAGGCGGGTGCTGCAGACCCCGTCACTCCCTGGGCGGAGCCTGGACGGACCCCGCCCTTGGCGGGAAGATGGAAAGCATCAGGACCGTGAGTGGAAAAGTCCTTTGAAAACCGTACTTTTAACACATTCTCGTTACTTAAAAAAAAAATCTTACATGCTACCGTCTGATATTAGAAGAAATCCAGCAAACCTATTTTTTAGGTCCTGGATAAATTGCACGTTGTGTTGAATTCTTTCTCGGTAATACCCTTTTTACTAAAACTTGCAGAGAGAGACCTTCCCAAAAGTAAAAAGGCTTTTTCCAAAATGGTGTCATTTTTCAATAGGGAGTCCCACATCTCACCTGTGACTTGCCGTTTATTCAATTAGGGAGAAGAAAGGCACCAGACCCTTAGTGCTTCCTTCAGAACGATGGCTGAATTCATGGACTACGCTTCAAGTCAGTGTGGGGTAAGTTGGTGTGAATCATGTGGGGAGAATGTAGATGCTTCCTTCTCACCTACCCTGCAGGCCTTGTAACCGGTAATTAAGTCAGGTGGTAAATCCAAGTTAGAATTCATCCAACAGATATGTAATTGACTCTGTGATTGTTGAGGATATAGCAGTAAACCAGCCAGAAAAGGTCTCTTGCACTCATTTTCAGTCTATTGGGGGAAGTTGCTTATTTGCTGGATTCCTCAATTAAGTCAAATATTAGGGTTTTTTTTTTTTTAAACTTTGAAAAAAATCTTTAGAATCATTCTAAATTGGAACTTTTGTTTTCAAAATGTATTGAAACAAAGTCTGTAGATAATATCTTTAGGCCTCTAATGCTTGTTTCAAGTTCCCAGTGACATAGTTTTTAAATATGTCCCAGTGGGTCCTTAAGCAGTTGTTGGTGACAAAGATGATCATGTGAAACAGATGTAGGTCCCTGGTTGGGTGTGCAGTTTAACAGTAGGAACCACTTCCAAGGAATCAGACCCATGTTCTGGACTTACTGACTGTAATGTCTGTGAGCCATTTGTCTCTCTCAGTCTTAGCTAAGGCACGTGACCAGAGCAATGAGAAGCTAGGAACACGCTTCAGGACATGAAGCTTAATAATGTATTTTAGCTTTCCATTCCAAAGTTAAGATTTCTAAAGTCCCTTTCTGCCTTTATAGCCTATTTCTTCGGTTTCCACTGAGAGATAAAGACCAGCAAATTGTCATAAATTGTAGATTTAAGTCAAGTTTTTGGTACCATTCATTGAAATGGGTAAACAAAGGTTTTAAGTCCCCCTTGTGAAACCCATACACTTAGGTCATCTTTAAGTACTTTGAGGGAACATTGAAGGTGGAGCAACCAACATTAAAGGAAAACACCTGCATGAAAAGCAAGCTTTGTCTTCTTGGCATCACACCAAACTTAACATTTTGTGAGACTTGTAAGGACTTGTGAGACTTCCTTACTGGTCTGTAAGGAAGAAGAAAGAGTCCCTTGTTTCTGTCCTGCTTTTCAGTTTCATTTGTTGAGATCTTAAAAATTCTAATCTTCCTACATCCTTTATAAAACTCCCTCTGACTCCAAGAATAGCATTCTGACCAATGAGATATGGCTCAGAGAATATTTTTACATTCTTACTTGTACTTTGGTGGTTGTGGAAAAATTTGTAACTTCAGCTCTACTGTAAAGCAATTAACTTAAGCCCTTGGTTCATGGTTCAGTAAAAGGAACAATATTTGTCTTTGGTTTGAGGTTAGCAAATTGATGTTCTTCATGTTGGTTTTCAGTTCAAATCTGTTATGGAATGGAGCCTCAGAGCCTCTTTGCTTCCTGAAGGTTTTAGAGTAGTGTTCTGGGTGTGCCTTCAGAATTTTGAAGCATCCCCTAAAATGTATCATTAGATCCATGTCGTGAGTACTTTCCCTGGCTTCTCATTTTTCTGGTCACATGCCTAAGATACTGTCCCTACAGTAAATTCAAAACAAGCAGGCTGTGATATCTTCATCATTAGTCATAATCAGGGGCAAATCCAAGGTTAACTTGGAGAGGGAGGAAGGAAATAGACAAGAAAAATGTAACTGTTTTCTAATCCTTCGGATTATTCTTAAACTGGAGACCTCTCCTTCTACTCCCCTTGCATGGGAACCCTGGGGAGAAGAGCTGCATAGCTCTTGAGTTAATGTTTCCTTTCCTGCTGTATTTCTAAACCTCGAGAAAATGCACATCATCTTCCCACGTCCTTCTCTGAGACCTGGACAGTAAACATGGAACTGTTCACCAGTGTGTCAGGGGAGGAAGGAAAAGGGTATGTGTTCTTCACAGCTGCGCAAAGACATGCAAGTTGTTTAACCTGGCAGAGAACATGGGGCCTGCCAACCTTTAACTGGCTATAGCTCTTGCTTGCTCCACAGAGGCAGCAGATGGCAGCAAAGTCATGCCAAATGCAGTTTCCTTGTCTGTGGCCACTTTACATGGGCTAAGGCTTGTTTTGTGACTTCAGAGGCCTGTCAAAAGACAAGTAATTTACCTTTGCTCTCTAGCTTCCCTCCTTAACCGTATTGACCCAAGAATTAGAGGATATTTTTGAAAATTTGACCAGAACGTTTAGTTATCTCAATGTCTTTCACATTACTTCTCTAGAGATACTACTCATCTGTACTGGAAGAAGGAGGGGCAACCCATGTCTATCGTTACCACAGAGGGAAGCCAGACTTGTACTTGTGCTCAGATTTAGACCGTGGTCAGGTATGTGTCTTCATCTGTCCTTTCTGTGCCTGCCGCCTAGCAAGATTGAGACCCTGTTTTTGGGAGCTCCTGCTGGATGCTGTATCATGGGATGCCCATGTAACTCAGCATTACAGTATGCAACAGAAGTGTATCAGCCTTAGAAAAGCCTGAGAGAACTTACAGCAGTGAGCACGAAATAGGAGCTTATCTAAAACATGACAGTGACCTACTTTGCTGTGGGATTCTTGGGCATGCTTAAAAAATTTCACATATCCTCTTTTACATCTAGGAATAGAAAGAGATTTTTTGTGTGTGTGAAGGCTAGAGATTTATTGTTATTTTGTGATTAATAAATTGTCAGATTGCTTATGACACTGTCCCACACCATTCACCAGTACATGAAGACACATGAATACCATCCTTAACAACCTTCTCTAATCATGCCTCCACCCTGACCTTTGTACATGCGTTCCTCCTTGGGAAAGTGTCAGAACAGTACATGGAATGGTGGGCAACCTGACCTCCTGACCATTTTAGAAAGAGATTTTTAATAATTTACATATCTCACAGAGATACTGGTAACTATCATGGCTTTGCTTTTTCGTTTCATTTCTTTTATTTAGATGGGGTCTTGCTCTGGTGCCTACACTGGTTTTGAACTCCTGGGCTCCAGTAGTCCTCCTGCCTCATCCTCAAGAGTAGCTGGAATTACATGCCTGGCTCACAGAATAAAAGATAGTAACATTTACAGCCTTTGACCACAACCTTACCTCTCTTCTACCATATGTCACTGTGGGGCCAAAAGTTCTACTTGTTGAACAGATGTTGGTACTAGTGGTAGTTTTTGTTTGTTTATTTGTTTTGTTTTGGGTTTTTTTTTTGTGCATGTGTGTGGAACTGGAATTTGAACTCAGCTTCACGCTTGCAAAGCAGGCACTCTACTTCTTGAGCTGTACTTCTAGGCAGTTTTGCTGTGGTTATTTTGGAGATGGGGTCTTAAAAACTATTTGTGTAGGCTGACCTTAAACCATAATCCTCCAGATCTCAGCCTCCCAACTAATTTAGGATTACAGTCATGAGTCACCGGCCCCTGGCTCTGGTAGTGGTTTTTGAGAAGAGTAGCCTTTTTTCCCCTTCTTTTTCTTAAACTCTACTAGTTGTACTCAAAGATGGCAAACTTTAATTCCCAAGTTGGATTCTTGACCTCTCTGACCTCTGAGCTATCTTGGGGTGTTAGAGCAGAGAGGTTTAGGAAAACTGTAGGGGCTCGAGCAAAGGAATATGAGTGAAGCTGATAGGTTGGAAGTACTCCCTTCCTTCCTTTCTGGGATACAAAGAGCTCCAGAGCCTGCTTCTTGGTTCCCTTTTCAGGCTTAGCCTGAGCTCTTCTTACTCTCGGGTACATGTGGTGAATAGTCATTTTTCTCTTTCCCCATAAAATGTAAGTTAGTGTCTCTAGGGGAATTGGCTTTCTCAGTCACTACGTTCCTTTAACACCACACACACACTCCTAGAAGCACAGAAGAGAGATTTTTCTGAGAGTCTTTTAAATGTCATCTTTTTTATACTTTGAATCTTCCCTACAATTCACTAACTATATTATAGTCTAGGAAACCAAGATCAGAGAAGTTAAGCAGTCTTAGAAAGTAGCAGGAAATAAGATTTAAATTCAGGTTTGTCTGACTCCAAAGCCCATGTAAGGATAAAAGTAACCATAGGAAACATATGACTAAAAAATACCTTTTAAAATACCTCTAAATTCACTCAAAAGAGCATTAATAATTTAGGTGACAATAAATTAGGTGCAGAACAATTTTCCTGATAAGGTAGGAGAAAATTTCTTTACACTCCAGAAGTCAAAGCCTGAACCCTAATCAATATTTCTACTTGTCTTTTCCATTTGTCTCTTTAGAGAAAAGACAGAGAAAAGACATCCCTTGCTTCAGGAAGCTTCAAATCAGTGTGTGTTCCAGAGGTATCGCAGCCCGTGAGTACAGAACTGCTGGTGTGCTCGACTTTACCGCATTGCAATGCCATGAACCAGTTGACCTGTTAATTATAGCACTCTGTTTGGAAGGGATCTGTAGCATTTTTAATTTGGGTTGTTCTTATACTTGGTGCACAAAAATGTGGTTTGGTGTAAAATTATGTTTTCTTGGTATCCTTTTTTGCTGGAAGTTTCAGGGATGAGCTTTGTGCCTGAACTAATAGTTACAGTTGGAAAGAATGTGAAGTATTCACATCTCAGTCCCTATGGCTCAGCTGGGCTGGCACTAGGTCCTGCTGGAATTTCACCATCTGTTTAAGCAACAGGAGGTCCTGACCCTTCTGCTTAATATAATTTTGTTTCTTGCTGAAATTCTGAAAACATACACATTTGGTGAGATACCAGGTTTCAAAACATTTGAAATTATTTGTTCCCATTTTCCACAAATGTTTCTGAATAAAAAAACATATAATGATGAATTGTTCATTTTTAAGATAAAGTATTCATTAGTTCATAACCCTGGGGAATTTTTTGGAACTTGGGAGAGCTGGAATTTTGAGGAAAGGAACTTTAGGATGTTGCTGCAATAAATTCCTTAGTCTTTGTTTGTATGCAATTGGTCATTAGCCAGGATTTAGAATATACTAGAGTTCATAGCAACTAAGAAATATTCTGCTCCTAGTACACATATGTTGCTAGCCTTAGATGCCTTCATTACTGTTGATTTTTGGTAATGGCAATCTTCCTGACATTTCAGCGTTGGAGTCACAGATGCCAATCTGACCCCAGTGTTGCCTTGTGAGCAGGCACATGGAGCATCCTTGGCCTTCTGTGATTCCGATGCAGCCATATTTTCTGCAACTTAACTTTTGTTTATTTACACAGTTGACAACCAATCAACAATTGTGGCATTGCCATATACATTCCTACCAGTTTAATAGTAGACCTAATTTTGCAGAAATTAGGTATGATAGGATTAAAAATAAAGCAGGTTTTTTTAAAAAATGGCTTCAAATCTATCTGCACGACAAGGCAAGGAGAGAATTTCATAAGAGTGTAAGTTTCCTGTAGCAAAATTTACTAGCCAGTACTTGCATTTTTCTCCCAGGTGTGGTGTTAGAAATGGCAGCTTCTCTGCACAATAAGGGACTCAAGTGGTAGGCTGCCTGCTTAGCGAGTGTGAGGCCCTGAATTCAAACCCCAGTATCACCAAAAAAAAACAGAAATAGCCTCTGCCTGTGGCTGCTTCTGAGCATTGTGCAAGCATGCAGCAGCATCCTGGCTGTCACTTTGGTGGGTCTTTTCTGATTTTGTGAATTTGTCCTTTTGCTACTTGAACTGAGATCCATTCTCTCCCTGTGCATCTGCTATGACCTGCTTCCCAGCCATGTGTGATGTCTAGCTTTGGAGAATGGTTTGTGCTCTAAACACAAACTTTCCCATGAATTCCACCTTTCCAGTCCTCCAAGGAAGGGCTTTTGCCAACTAACATGACAAAATGGATCTACTCATTGTTCTTAGCTTTAGGAGAAAAGAAATGCTTCACCTTCCTGATGATGAATTTAGCAAAGCACAATTAAAAGGTAGTTCTCATTATTCCAAGGGACCTTGCTGTCACTGCCAGTCTCTTGTCTGCTTGCAAGTGCCACTGTCTGCTTTTGATCCCCCCAGATAAGGACCATTAGACTTTTCCTCTGCCTAATTCTTACTCCAACTAGAGTGTTGTTTTTATAGCCCTTCCTATTCCTGTAACACTTTAGCATTTACAGAGCATTTTCACATGCTTACTTGTGAGGTAGGCATTATCACAGATTTAGAAACAAAGGAACAAGCATAGCGGCCACAGCTTACCTAAATGACAGGTCTGTTATATAACCAAGCTGAGCCTTTGAACATAACTTCTGTCTCCCACTTTGACACTTCATTCCATCACACCTCTGCCACACAAAGGCAGCCTAGTGAAGGCTCTAAATTGCTATGTCCTCTTTTTCTTCCAGACCAAGGACATCTCTAAGGACCTCTACATAGAAGTATACCCAGGGACCTATTCTGTCACTGTGGGCTCAAATGCCTTAACCAAGAAGACTCACGTGGTCGCAGTTGATTCAGGACAAAGTGTGGACTTGGTCTTCCCTGTATGATGTTGACCATCACTGCCATCACATCATTCTTTTTAAGTAGCAAGAAGAATAAAGCCACTGTATGATTCTCTTAATAATGATGCATTAATCCTGCTTTTAGTGCTGACTGCAGCGTCAGCCTTCCTGGGACCTGGAGTCTGTCTCTTTCAGTGCCCATTTTAATTTGAGAGTATACAAGTCCCCCATCCAGATTTGCCTAAAAGCAATAATGTGATGAGATGATGCTGTCTGAACAATTTTTACTGCTGGCTTTCCAAGTAAAGGTTAATTATGATAATAAAGGGAGAGATTTGGAAACGGAGAGGATTCATTTTTATTGGTATTAAAAAAAAGATAAAACACAGTATGTATGTCCCACATGTGTAGGCTTTTTGAAAAGATGACAGAGGCTATGGACACATTTGCCCAAAGCAGGCCAACCACACTCTGTGGCTTCTGTGGAAGAGGCCTCCTCAAGCAGTCTCACCAGGCCTGGGCCACCAGTTCCTGTGCCCCTACAGTCACAGCAGTGCTTTTCTGCTGCTCATCTGCAGGGAGGTTCTAATGCAGTGAAGATGCTGCTGCACACTCGATTCTCACCTGCAACCTGTGCTCTGCTTCCTTCCACCGAAGAAGGCCTTGTCAGCCACTTTGCAGCTCCTCCTCAATTATTTACCACCGTATCCTTTAACTTTCTGTGAGGAAAAACAAATCCTGAATCTTATTCTGACCATAATTTTAAAGATTAAAAGTCACTGATTTTAGCTAGGCAAGGCAGTGTGTACCTCTAATCCCAGCTGCTCTGGAGGCAAGGCAGAAGGATCATGCTAGGCAGTTTGTAGGCCCTGTCTCAATAATAGATCCTATCTCAAAACAGGATAAAAGTAAAAGGACTAGGAGCATGCAAGGCCCTAGGTTCAATCCATAGTATTGTGCAAAAAAAATCACTGATTTTAACAAGTCACTGATGTGTCCCAAACTTTTTTAAGCTACCACACCAACAGTATTGTTGCACCTTCCCAGTTGCTTGGTTAGTTAGCTCATTTTGAACTTAGCAGCTCTTTCTTCAGGAAAAATGTCAGTTTTTGATAAAAACAGTGTTTGCCTTTTGTTTTTAAAGATCATCGCTGGATAATTTTAACCAGTATTCCATATGTGAACTGAATTACCACATTATCCAAAATATGATCCACAAGCCTAGAAATAGCCCAGTTATCCAAACCCAACCAGAAACCTGCTAGAAAACTACCCAGCCAAATATAAACTACACTATTAATGTCCAATCAAATAGTCCAACCTTTTATTCTGGCGTCCTTATACTTAGGTTGTTTTAAATAAGAGAACAGTCTCCCATGAACAGAAGGCCGAGTGAAGCAGACCTGTGTCCTACACCATGGGGCAGAAGGTCATGTGCATGGGGACCTTAGCTCCACCCATAAGCCTATGATGAACTTTATGGATTCTGTCAGCCTTCTAAAATTCTATGCATAATTTGGTATGTGCAGCTTTATGGGAAGAGTTTCACTATTCGCAAAGGGAAATGTAACCCCAGAAGTTCTAAAAACCCCTTCCCAGATACTCTGCTTTGTCCAGATTCTCAGGGTTTTTAATTTAAGGAAAACTTTCCCCTTTTATATGTTACAGTACACTGCCTTAGTTTTCTGTGTTCGGCTTCCTCTGGCAGGGTCTGCCATGGCTTCGTGTTGGTTGCTTTCAGGGCCAGCTCTTGGGTAGTCCCCATTACCACAGTTTGTGCTCTCTCCTTTTTGTTGTCTTCGGATGTTGCCACGTCTTGTTCCTAAACACCAAATCAATCAGTTATGTTGAGTATGCCACCATTTTGAGAGGATTACTCTTAACGACAAGGAGACCTATATCAAGGATCGCTGAATCTTCTAAGTCTCTGTAAGCTCCTAGTAGTCTGTGATTTTAAAAATGAAGTTTGTTAATCATTGCTGGCCATTATGTTTTTGGGAAAGGTTATTTATTTTTACATCCATATTTGAAGTTAGAAGTTATCACACATGATTTTCAAACAGCCAGTAGGCAAAACAAAGGTTACCTGCTGTCACCAGAAGACAGGAAATGGGACTTCTGAGGACTAGTACAATCTAAAAAGGGAAGGAACAGGCTGAGCATGGTGATGCACACCTGTAATCTCAGCACTTCAGAGGCTGAGGCATTGGAATTGCAAGTTTGAGGCCAGCCTGGGCCACATAGACCTTGTCTCAAAAAACTAAAATTGAAAAGAAGGAATACTTAAAATTTGTTTTAAAACTATAGATTGAATCCTGCTTGAGTCATGAGCAAAAGAGGGGAGCACCATGAGGGATGGAAGCCTGTAAATCTGGCCTCCCTGAGGTTATTAGGATCACTAATAACCTCACTGCCTCACTAATGAACTCACTGCCTGTCACTGACAGGAACTAAAAGTGTGGAGGGCAGAGGGCCCCATACAACAGAATTCTTTCACAAAAGGCAGAGCTCCAGACTGATGGTCAAGCATCAGTGCTTGAGAGAACTGCTAGAAGTACCCTCTGATTCAGTACTGATATTTATTGCTGATTAATTTACCAAGCATATTTAGGAGAAGCAAAACACATTTCCTTAAAACAACACAAAATCTGGAAGGGAAAAAAGAAGAACTGTTATTTGCCATTCTTTCCAGCCCTGACCCACACATGGTTTTCTGTACTTCATTTTTTGCTACTTAGCTCTGACAGGCAATACTGCATTATGACCCGGGATGGATCAGACCCCATTTTCCATACCCCATCCTGGGCATGCTTTCCATTATTTTGGGAACATGCCCGATGATGCCCTGTGGGTCAGCCCCAGAAATTAACCTTCCTCTGAGTGTAACGAAAGATCCAGGACCCAAAGGTACTATATTTCTCTTCTTTATAGCTAATTATTAGTATTTGTGTGTGTGTGTGTGTGTGTGGTACTGGGGTTTGAACTCATGGCCTACACCTTCAGCCACTCCACCAGCCCTTTTTTGTGATGTTTTTTTTCCAGATAGGGTCTCGAGAACTATTTGCCTGTCTGGCTTCAAACCTCCATCCTCCCGATCTCTGCCTCCCAAGTAGCTAGGATTAAAGATGTGAGCCATCGGTGCCTGGCTTAGAATTTGTTTTTGAGGGAAAAATTTTTGGCATGGATCTGTTTAAATAGGGTGTCAGGGAGGGAGACTGAATGTAGGTTCAAGTGGCTTTGGGCAGTTGAGATAAGAGCGGTGCATGCATAGGGCCAAGGAGAATTTGTGTGGACTGAATTGGATTTGGAACCAGTCTAGAGATTGCTGTTGAGCAAGTAGCAGCAGTGGGAGCACAGATACCTGGAGCATGTCTGAACCCATGGCTCCTCAGCTACCCCACCCCTGTTGCTTCTCTCCCCAGTACTAGGTCTGGTGGTGATTTCAGTTGCACCCACAGATTCCCATCTGTTGGATAGGTACAGCTTCTCTTTCTCCAGGCTGTGCTGAAGCAGGAGGTTAACTCCTCCTGGCTATGGAGGACTTAGCATGAAAACTGGATTTGGGCACCATTCTTTTTATATCATTACCTGTTGGAAGGGCAGATCTCAGAAACAGATGTTTCTGAGTAGCTTTGCCAAGGGTTACCATTGTGAGGTTGCACAGAAGCCCAGGACTTTCCCCCTCCAACCTATATTTTCAATATAGAGCTTCATCTTGGAGAGGAGAGGAAGTTGGCTGGCTTGAGGTGGGTTCTTGTCCCTCTAATTATTTCCCTATCTCTGGGAAGCCAGAGAACACCTGCAACCCTCATTTCAATACAAGTGCAGGCCCTGGGGTCCAAGGAATTACCCAAGAAAGTTTCTCAGCGTAGAAACAATTTCCCAGCTTTCTGAGATGGGAGACTAATAAAGTCCTTACCCTTGCAGCAAGAGTGAAACCCTCTGGACTGAGCAGTCCTCCTGGCAATGGCTTCAAACAAGTACATGCAGTGAGTCCCAGTGTGACTCAGAGTGGCTCCCAGTGTGGGCAGTGCCTAAAGACTCTTATATTCTTAGCTGTGGTGTTCCTTAGCACTCACAGCATGCCTGCCCCAAATGCCCTTTCACAGAACATCAAATCAGTGACTTTGGGGCCCCCATGTTCTAGTGTAGGGCTGATCCAGGCCACGTTCTTCACAGTGCTCTGCCACCTGACCTAGGCTTCTGCTCTTTCTGGTCCCTCTTGGGAATTTAGATAGGATGGGTGTAAGGCATCCATATGCTGCTCCCCAAACCTACCCAGGTGTGTTCTTTACCTCAGAATGAGGTAAAGAAGCTTGGGGATGGCTGCAGACTGCCAGTGTCAACACTGGTTCCCAGTTATTCACAGACAATGAGCAGCATCCAGCAGGGTGTTGCTCTTCCCACTGTGACTTCTGAAGGGGTGAGTGTAGCCTGATGACCCATGTTTAAGGACCAGTTCTGTGTTTCTCCAGGTACAGATTCTAATGAATACCTGGAGGCATTTTTAACTTTCATTTAGAGAAAAAAAAGGCTACCAGGAAAGAAAGAAGGGAGCAAAAAGGGATGATGGCAGTGTCCTGTCAGCAGAGACTAGTGAAGAAAGAAAAAGACAGGTTATTAAATAGGCATGAAAACTTGTGCACAAAGGTCAGCCATCCCTCCTGTTTCATTCATAGTTTAAATGGAAGCCTACCATTTCTCTCTTCTCAGTGCCCCTTCCACATGGCCAGCCTCCCATTATTGCTTCCAAGGCCAGCAGAGTGCACAGGTGCATCGGATTCCTAAGAGACACATGGAAGGGGCAAGCAGCCCCTGCCTTGGAAGACAGCTCCACACTCTTGGTATACCTGGCTTCCCAGGACACGGCTCAGGCCCATTTCTCCTCCAGTACCTCCACGGTGGCTGGCAAGGGCTGCACTGCCTTGGAGACTTCTGAGGAAGGATGGGGTCAGTGTTGACTGCGCTGTCTACCATCAATCTCTGGGGAAGGCCTATCTCCAGATAGTTCTCCAAATAGTCTTCTTCACAAGAAGAGGAGGAAACGGCCCCAGGACTGTGCACTGCTGTTGCCTTCTCTTTAGGACCCTCAAGGGGCAAAAGCCATGCTGTGGGCTTCAGCTCTGATTCTGGGAGTTCTCTGGCTGTGACCTCTGAGGCCCTAGTTAGAGAGCACCGGGTGGGGCCTGCCAAAGGGCACCAGCAGAGGCAGCCCTGGCACAGTAGCTGGCAGCAGGCAGGGGGGTGGCAGGGAGGGCACAGGAACGGAGTATCCAGAGGAGACCTGTTGGTGATGCATCCAGGGGTTGGCACCAGCAGGGAGCAGCAAGAGGCCCAGAGTTGGGGACTGGGGTGCTCCCTGGGGCAAGGCTTGCGCAGCCTTTCCACAGCCTTCTTCCAGACAGCGAGAGGCACCCACCTGACCCCACCTAGAGGCACTTTAGCTGTTTTGCCATTCCAGAAGTAAACAGTGATTTCTTCTTCCTTTGATGCTATGCAAGAGAAAAGGACAACATTTTGTTATAATTACCTCTTCTTTATGGTGGGATAAAGGATCTCCTATCCCCAGAGGCAAAGTCTCAGCCCCTGCCTCTCTGCTCTGTCTGTCTGGCTCCTCACAGACCCCTCTTCCTGGAGAGCCTATGGGAAGGTCCCTCTAATTGTACCACACTGGCCACTACCTTCCTGGTGGACTTGCTGGAGCCTCACTGTCTCCTGCGCTCCAAGATGAACTTTTTCATGCAAAACCATAATCATCCTCAGTAGAAGCTTCCTGCCTTTCTCTGAAAGGGTGGTGAGTCCTTGTGTGATCCCAGGGTAACCCCATTACACTACAGTTTACCAATGTAGTCATGGTAATTTGTCATTTTCTCTGAGTAAAAAAATTATAACCTGGAAGATATGCGGACATAAGAATTCTTTTTTTTTTTTGGCAGTGCTGAGGATCCAACCCAGAGCCTTGCTAGGCAAGTACTCCGCCACTGTGCCACAATCCCACATCCCCAGCCCAAGATCCTTTTTTTTTTTAAATCTCTAAGTCCCCTAAGCTCTGGCCTGATCACCTGGCTTCTGGGGACAGATGGTCAGAGCAGATTCCCTTACCTCTCTGGGGGTCTCTCATCTTCAAGCCCAAGAGAACAGTGCCAGGGCCATACCGCTGTCGGTCTGGCTCCCAGGGTGCCAGCACCGTGTCCCCAGGTTGCAGAGAATAGTCCACAGATGGTGAGAGCTGAATCACATCTTCTTCCAAGACCACACTCTGCCTCTGGGCTGGGAGATTTGGGCCTGCGACAGAGGGAGACTCAAATTCTACAACCAGGATCCCCTGCCGCTCCAACTGTGGGAAAGAAAGCAGAGTAAGAGTTGGCATTAGAAAGCCAGCACCAAGGGTCCCTACAGTGCCCCAGAACCAGGCTCTGGGTCTTCCTTACAAACAGTGAGGGCTCTCCAAAGGAAGGAAGGGGCGGGTGCTGTTTAGATCCAATTAAAGTCATGGGACTGTTGCCCCACCCTCTGCATCTTCTTGCCACGGGCATCTCTTGTTTATCACTTCCTGCCTTTTCCTTGCCATTCTTTTCCTTTGCCTGTTTTTCTTTCCTCCTACCAAATTTTTGGTCTGCAATTCCCAGGAGTAACTTGGTCCTCTGGACCTTTCGCCACTGGACTACTTTGCCCCAATGTATTTCTCTCTCCCCCTCCCCCAATACTGCTATGATCAAGCCGACCAGGAGTGGTTCATTATTCATCTATGCGGCCCATGTGGACGAGGAGGGATTGCAGTCATCGTGCAGCCTTCATCCTGCCCTAGAGCCAACGAGGAAAGGCTTAGCTAAATGAATAGCAAATAAGAGAAAGAGAACTTAAGCTAATAAAAAGTGAAGCTGGCTTGAGTACTCAGTTTGATTTTGAAGAAAAATTCTAGTTACAAATTATTTTTAACAAGTCGCTAGGTAGAACCTATATTTGAGCAAACTGCTAACATTTAATTTGAATTCACCTATCGTTACTTAAAAATGACAATACGACTTTTGATTGGAAATTCTTTAATTCTTCTTTTTTTGTTTTGTGGCATTAAGGATTGAACTCAGGACCTTAAGCTCTAGAAGCTGGGTCACACCTGAGTTCTTTTGCTGTCAGTTTGTTTCTCAGAGAGGGTCTCACACTTTGCTTTGGCTGTCCTCAAATGGCAATCCTCCGATCTTCACCTCCTGAGTAACTGGAATCACAGATGGGAGCCAGCACACTTGGCCAGAATTCATATTTTTTGAGAATTCATACTAGTTTTCCCTGCATTGATCCACAGTCACAAAGTCTGACTGAATACAGAAAAATACTAAAGAAGCAAGGAACCATTAAAGTAAAGGCCAGGCCTGGCCCACAGTGTGCAAGAATGAACCTCTGTGTGCACTAGCAGGTGTGCCTGCAAATGGGAAGGAATTCTGGTGCCCTGTCTCCCAGACTAGGCCCATAATTCAGTGTACTGAATTTTCCTGAACAAAGTCCCCCCTCCCTTTTTTTTCCTTTTAGCAGTTCTGGGATTTAACTCTGGCCCTCACTCTTGCTAGGCAGGCTGTCCTACCACCTGGGTCACCCTGCCGCCCAGCTTGGTTTTGAAATAGGGTCTGAATAACTTTTTGTTTGTGTTGGCCTCTCCTCCCACTCTCTACCTCCAGAGTAGCTGGGATTATAGCCGTGAGCTATAATCTGGCCCCAAACAAAGTACTTTTAATGTACTTTTCCTTCACCATTATGGGTTGAAGTGTGTCTTCCTTCCCACCAAATTCATAAGGTGAAGTCCTAGTGTATTTGGGAATAGGGTCACTGCAGGTGTAATTAGTTAAGATGATGTCATAATGAGCATGGCAGACCCCAAATCCAGTATGGCAGATGTCCTTATAAAAAGGGGAAATTTGAATAGACACATAACTGAAGGAGAAAGATGTGCAAGGTTGAAGGCAGAGATCAGGGTGATAATTATACAAGCCAAGCAAGGAACACAAAGATTGTCAACAAAAACTGAAGCTAGGAAAGGGGCATGGAACAGATTCTTCCTCACAGCCCTTAGAAAGAGCCAACCCTGGCACTATCTGGCCTGCCTCAGGAGTGACACATAGATTTCTGTTGTTTAAGTCACTCTGCTTATAGCACTTTGATACACAACCCTAGCAAACTGATACACTCACTGATAATGCCTGGTTGCTTTTACAATCTGACTATGGAATGTCTGTGCTTATCCAAGAAACCAAACTTCTGGGCACCCACAGCTAGGGAAAATCAGAGGAGCATGCCAGGGAGTTGCTGGGAGTCAGGGACTTACCTCTGGAGTGGCCTTTATCTGAGCCCGGTAATAAAAGCCATCTGGATCTCTTCTTGCCAGGACCTGGCTGCCAACAGCATCTCCAACTCTTCCAGGCTGGCCAGGGCCCTGCCACGCTGGATCAGCCATGTGGCAACATGGGTGATCAGAGGCATACCTGGATAAAAGAAAATGAAACAAGAGGGTGAACACAGAGCCCTAAAAACATCAAGGGACACATTTCATAGTCAGATCTGTGAAGTACCATGGGCATGGGAATGACATGGTGATCTATGACTTCCTATAAGATAAAGTAAACTTTTGGGAGGGGCAGAAGGTGATGACAGTGAAGTGAGCCATCATTTAAAATATTTTTTATTCATTTATTCACATGTGCATACATTTTTGGGGCCATTTCTCCCCCTGCCCCCCCCCACCAACCTTTCTCTCCCAACCCCCCTCACTTCCAGGCAGAACTTGTTCTGCCCTTTTCTCCAATTTTGTTGACGAGAAGACATAAGCAATAACAAGAAAGACAAAGCGTTTTTGCTGGTTGAGTTAAGGATAGCTATACAGAGAGATTCCTAGCATTGCTTTCATGTACAAATGCATTACAACCCAGGTCGATTCACCTCTAACTGACCTTTTCTCTAGTTCCTGATCCCCTTCTCATATTGGCCTCTGTCACTTTAAGGTTTCTGTATTAGTTCCTCTGCAGTGGGGACATCAAACACTTTCATGTTTTGGGTTTCTTACCTATCCCCATACCTCCTGTGTGTGCTCTCCCCTTATCATGTGACCCAAGTCCAACCTCATTGCTGTATTTGCCCTAGATCTAATGTCCGCATATGAGGGAGAACATGTGATTTTTGATCTTCTGAGTCTGGCTAACCTCACTCAGAATGATGTTCTCCAGTTCCATCCATTTACTTGCAAATGATGAGATTTCATTCTTCTTCATGGCTGAGTAAAATTCCATTGTATATAAATACCACATTTCTTGATCTATTCGTCAGTAGTGGGGCATCTTGGCTGTTTCCATAACTTGGCTATTGTGAATAGTGCCACAATAAACATGGGTGTGCAGGTGCCTCTGGAGTAACCTGTGCCAAATTCCTTTGGGTATATCCCCAGGAGTGGGATTGCTGGATCATATGGTAGATCTATGTTTAGATTTTTAAGAAGCCTTCAGACTTTTTCCCAGAATGCTTGCACTAGTTTGCATTTCCACCAGCAGTGTACGAGGTGGACCATCATTTTTATATTGGGAATTATTTCAAGGTAACCAAAAGGTAATTGGTTTTGATATATGTAAGTTAATTGATGCTTGTTCCAGGACTCGACCACAGACCAGGAACAGGTGCTGGGAGGTGAATTCCAAGACTGCGTGTGGGGCTCCGGAATGAGGCATGAAAGTGTGGATGACACGGCACAGGAACAAGATTGTAAGTCATGTAGCACACAGGCTGGGGGATGAGGAAGTGTTGGAGCAGGGCAGCACAGAGGAGCTGACTAAGGACTGGTGGGACAGGAAAAGGAGAGGCCAGTTCTGGGAACTGTGTGGGCAGCTGGCTGTGGGGAGCTTCAGAATGAGGGTTTAGGTTTTCAAGAAGCTGTTTTGCGGGCAAGCCTGAGTACAAAGATGACTGGAACAGCATGGTCCAAATAGGTGCATCAAGAAAAGGAGCAATTAAGGCTGGGGGTGTGGCTTAAATGGTGGAGCTCAAGGTCTTGCAAGGTCTTGAGTTCCAACTCTAGAATTGGGAAGGGAAAAAAAAGGTATATCTCCAGGAAAGGGAGGCATGAGCAATTAAAGACCATTTGGGCTGAGGTCTGTCTCCCTAACCTGGGCAGACTGAATTGAGTACCACCAATCTGATCCCTGGAAATTACACAATTTATATATGCCACAGGGTGAGGTTCCTTTGTCCTCTTCCAGGCACACTTTAGACAGCTGACTGAGAATACTATTGATAACTGTCCTGGGGCAGTTGAGGATTTAAAAAAAAAATTTTATTCATTTATTCACATGTGCATACATTGGGCCATTTCTCCCCCCTGCCCCCTGCCCCCTCCTGCGCCCCTCCACCCCCCCCAGTTGAGGATTTTCGCCTGTCATATAGGGTTAGGATTTGTGAAGGAAGCCTGCTGGCTCCAGGCTCACTTACCCCTGTGCCTCCATCACTCAGCATATAACACATGGAAAGCTCCTGGCATAGAAGTAGCTCAGTTGTTAGTTCTTTCCTCTTTCCTCCTCCCCGGTGGCAAGGGCTCCTGGAGGAAGCTCATTCCTCCTTCACAAGCCCTAACCCTGGTGACAATTGACGTTCATGCAGACTAAATGCTGAGAGAACCAATGACCTGGAGCTCCCACCTTAGTTGGCTGCAGAAAATCTAATTTCTCATTTATGCCACAGCAAGTCTCAGAGCTGATGGAAAAGTGAGCCAGAACCTTTGTGACAGGTCATTCCTGACTGGCTTTTCCCTCCCATGCCAACTGTGATAGCCACAACTCTGCATCAAGTGGGACAAAGCCAGGTCAACAGGAAGGTTAGTGGGAGAACAGTGTAGGCTGGGACCCCACAGGCCAAACAGTAAAGAACCCTTCAGCCTCCCCAGGAAGCAAGCTCTGTGCCTCATGGGACACATTTAGAACCAGGAACAGAGGGAAAAGAAGTGGGGGGAGGGGGGTTAGACGCCTTACCTTGTGAAAGTGTGGTGGCCAGGGAGCCAAGGGACAGGTGAAGGAGAGGTTCCGGGATGGAGCAGTGTAGTCCTGGCCTGGAGCGCTTTCAGGGTTGTGGTCACACTGCAGTATTTGGGCAAAGGCAGCCCAGACCAAGTGGAGGATTGCATGGCCTTCAGAGAACCCACCTGCAACAAGCACCACCATTAGCTGAGATGCAGCTCACAGCCCAACAGAGGGCACCTGGGTGAATGGGAGCAGCTCCTGGGTAGCTACCTCGGGGGATGGCTGTGTACAGGCTCAGCCCTGTTCCACAGACACCCAGAGTTTCCTCTTTGGATCGTCAGCTCAGGAAGCAGGGGAGGGATTGGAAGAGCAAAGCAGTGTAAGACACCCTGCTGAAAGTCCTTTCAGGCTGAGTGCTCTTCCCCTTTGTGCCTCAGTTACTGCTGGGGAGGGTATGTAGGAAGCACCTACACATTCGTAGCTCAACACACACTAGGTTTTCCCTTCTTCCTCCCCAGTGTCAGGGGGAAGCCCATTCTTCCTTCACAAACCTACCTCAAGCCAGACTCCCCTCCTTGCCTGGTCCCTGAGATCTCAGGACCATCCCTTCAGTAGACATGTTTAGAGTGACATCTGCCACCCACAGCCCAAGATCATTCTAAGCCACCAGAGCCCCCACCCAAGTCCACAGATCTGATCCCAAAGGGACTTACCCACAGCCCCAAGTCTGGCCTCCACCTCAGCCCCTTCTGATAGGGCTCTGGGCCTCAACCCAACCAAGCAGGTTGCCAAGCAAGTTGCCATGGACGCAAGCCAGCAGGGAATGCTGTCAGCCTGTGTGAGTGAGCACTGAGCATGTGCAGGGGGTGACAGAGGCCTTGGCATATTCTCTTTTCTCTTTGAGGTAAAGGGGGAGAGGAAGGAGGATGGAAAATATGGCCTCAATTCCCAAAAGCTTAGGCTTCCCTACTGCCGGAAAAGTCATTCACTTATGGTAGGAAGCCCTTGTGAACCCATGGGGGTTCTGTGAGGGGAGGGGAGCTGACACCTGTAGAAACTCAGGGCTGTTGATCTGCCTCCACCTGTGTAGGCACTAGGCTGGAAGGAGGGGTGGTTGGCCTAGGGCCTCTAAGAGAATGTCATCGTTTAAAACAAAATAACCAAAGACATGTTTGTAACAGACAGGACTCTACTGAGGAGCAGAGGCGTGGTGACCGCTAGGACTGTGGGGAAGTAGACACTGATGAGCAAAGAACAGAAATCTAAATTCTATTATTGAAACATCCATGGGAGGAGGCTGGCATTTTGGGGCCCCTGACAATCTCTGTGCCCTGATTATATGCCTGATACTGTGTTCAGTGGAGAATATAAAAAAAAAGTATACTGGGACATTTGTGGGTGTCTCCCCCACATCCAGTGCCTGCTTCCACCCGTTCCTGTTTCTGCCTAGAAGTCCATGTGCATAGAGGCTGAGGCCCCCAGTTCCAGGGCTGGAATGATGGCACATTCCATCCTCCTGGTGACAGGGGTTCATGAGGCCTGCTCTATTCCTGAACCTCTCTAGTCAGAGTGAGCCTCAAGACCCTCTTTGCTGAGAATCTTGGGTTATAGACTTTTTCTTTTCTTCTTATGCACAGATAAGAAGGCATATAATTCTAAGAGATTCTAATAGCCTTTTTGGGGTACTGAAGCTATTTTTTGGAGGAAGTCATAGAATGTGTTGGTGCAGTGTTAAGTCCTTCAGATATGTGAGCCAGTAAGTTCTTTTTATTGGTTTGGGTTTTCTCCTATTTGCCATCTTAAGTGGTGATGCTTTCTCAGAGTATAACTTCTTAGCAAGCCAGTGGAATGACTATGGCCCAGGTCCATACACCTTCAAGGCTGAGTTAGAGTCTAGGAAAGACTAATGAATCCTGGAAATGAGAGGTCTCCTGAATTAGAAAGTGGGACTTCAATAGTGGAGGGAGAGGGAGAACATTTCTGTTTAGGTAGGAAGCAAGAGAAGAGAAAGAAGGATGCATTTGCAAGAGCCTGATTTTCTTTCAGGGGGAAATGGCCAGATCAAGGTGGGGATATTTGGGATGGGGACAGGGATAGGATAGGGAGCTTTGAAAACGAAAGTGATAATGAAAATGAAGTGACAGGCAGTTTGAGCAACAAAGTGATATGAAATGCTTTAAGAAAGAACATCAGAGGGGTGGCATAGGAGCTCAAGTGGTAGAGTGCCTGCCTAGCAAGTGTGAGGCCCTGAGTTCAAACTCCCCCCAAAAAATAGAAGAAGAAAGAACATCGGAGTAAGAATAGATCCAGTTGAGAACAGAGCCCAGGAGATCAGAGAGGAGATGGTTAACAATAACCCAGACACAAGGTGACAGACTTGGAATAGGAAAATAGTAACAAAAATATTTACTGACACCTACCTGAGTTGAGGCGCTTCACAGAATTCAAAGAATATAGGAAGAATAAGATCGATATCAGTCGACTGAGAAGACAAAGATGGTGTGTAAGAGTGTAAAGATAGCAAGATAGGAACTGCAAGAGAAATATGTGTGCAAAAATAAAAGTGAAAGTTGGGAAAGACCTCACAGAGACGTGATGGTAGAGATGAGTGTGACAGGCAGTATGAGGAACTTGGTGACAGCTAGAACCTGGAAGTTAAGGAAGAAAGGTGAACTGAAGCTAGCCATCAAAGACCTACTGTAAAATGTGGGGCAGGGACTTTCTAGGGAGAATGAAGGGCCTGGTAGCTAAGAGTCCTCTGGCCTAGAGAGCAGGAGGACAGTGTGCTAAGGCTGGCACAGATAAGGATGACAATGATGATAAAAAAATCAATGATTGGGAATACTCATGGGTGCCAGGCACAGTAAACCTCACGATAAGCACATGGGTATTGTTATTATTCTCACTTTGTGAGTGAAGAACAAGGCAGAGAGAAGGTGATAGAATGGTGCTTCAAACTGAGGGTTAGCTTCCAGAGCCTGCCTTCTTACGCCCTGTACTAAGCTGCTTACACATGAGTCTAAAATATTTTCAAAATGACAACAAAGTTGTACAAACTGCTTTTGCTTTTGCTGGGATGCTTTCTCATGGTGACTTCTTGTCAACCCCAAACAAATGAAAACCTCCAAACTTTAACAAATCAAGAGAGGTTCATTTTGATTGCTTAGCAGGAAGTGGCTACCAAGTGCAAGACGAGCATTCGTCAGACTTTCTAAGTTTTTGTGAGAGCTTCTCACAACTGAGACTCTGGCCAGCTATGTGAGTAGGGCAAGATGAGAGGGACAGAGAACCCCGGGGACATCTGCTCCCTTAGAGGTCTTAAAAGAAGATATGATCAAAATAAATTTTATGCATGTGTGAAAATATCACAATGAAACCCCTCACATTGAACAATTAATATATCTAATAACAAATAAAATTTTTAAAAAGAAATGAGCAAAATGTTCTCTCAGTCTACATAACGTGGTTTAGTCTATGTGAAGCCCAGGTAAGCAATCTCCACCACAGGTTAGCATTAGAGCTACTGTCTGCCACACAGAGCTCACATTAAGAAGCTACTGAATGATTCTGTAAGAGGCCCTATTTTGTGAAATTATTTGTTCCTATTTGGAAATACTGACTCAAATGTCTCTAAAAACAGGGTCAGTGTGGCAACTGGTGGTGGCCATTAAGGAGAGGCCTGTCCCAGCGTTATTCTTGCTCTCAGCTTCATCAGGGTACAGAAGCGATTGCAGATAGTTAATGTACTTGATTGCAGCTCGGAGGGTTTCCACCTTGCTGAGTCGTTTCTCCAAATACTCCTCTGGCAGGTGGTGTCGGAGCTGGGCGTAGCCTTCGTTGACACACTTCACCCGCTGCCTTTCCCGCTCATTCCTTTTCCGGATAAAGGCTGGCCCATAGGGGTATTCACACCTTCTGTAATTTGGGTAAGGCATTGGGAAAGGGAAGGGGCAGGCTTCACCGTAACTTTCTATTGCCAGAGAGTCACTGGGAAAAGGCAGCAGTGGCAGCTCTTCAGAGTAAGGGGATGGCACTGGGGCCTCAGGGTAGAGGTGCAGAGTGACCATGGGATCCAGATAGAATGACCTAGGCAGTGGCAGATGGGCAGATTCAGAGAAGACAGAAAGTTTGTCTGGAGGATTAGAGTAGCTTCTATTGTCCATCATTTCTTCTGTAACCTAAAAATATAACCAAAGTGTTTAACTTTGTCAGATCAAAAGACAGCAGGTATGATTGACTTTCTTGGAGATCAGTGTTTTAAAAACTGCTTTGATAACTAGTTTGTGAGCTCATTCGGAGAAGCAGATGGGGTTGTAATAGTCTATGTATAGTGAGTTTTGTGGTTGTTTGACACAGGGTCTCACTGTGTAGCCCAGGCTGACCACAAACTCACAATCCTCCTGCCTCAGCCTCCCAGGTGCTGGGGTTACAGATATACTCTACCACATCCGGCTCAAGAGAGAAGATTTTTGGTGGTACACAGAACAGGATTAACTAATATTCAATCATCTGTAAGAAAGTTCTTCCTTTCCAATTCCCTTTCAAACCTATGACTGCAAGATAAAGCCTTTGTCTGCTGGGATGTGTGCTGTACACCACTGGGAATGCATTCCAATCCTGTGTAGGTGACAAGCAACATTATCTAGTGAGAAATTAATATTTTTGGCAGTACTAGGTTTGAACTCAGGGCCTTGCTAGGCAAGTACTCTACCACTTGAGCCATACCTTTGGTACAATTTAATATTTTTATTGTTAGCTTGTTTATCGTAAATTATACTGATTTCACATTTATAGTAGTCACATAAATTTCCATTTAAAACTGAATCTATTTGAGTAAAATGTGAATTGTTTCAAAGAAAAGTAGTAAATAAATCATGGCACAGCTAGAACACATAATACACTGATGATGATGAAAGTGTCTGCAAATCAAACTGAAGTTTGGGAAATACTGAAATACCACAATATTCAAATACAATATATTGAAGGAAAGTACAGACTAGTTAACGCAACCTAAAATAAACCTTAATGCAAACCTAAAATAAAATGACTTAAAATAAAATTTTAAGTTAATGTAAACCTAAAATAAAAATAAGAAAGGAGGACTGGAGGTATGGCTCAAGCGGTAGGGCGCCAGCTTTGTAAGTGTGAAGCCCTGAGTGCAAACCCCAGTTCCACAAAAGAATAAGAAAGGACTTTTTTCTTTGAGACAGGGTCCCGCTGTGTAGCCCAGGCTGGCCTTGACTTGCAGTCTTCCTGTGTCTGCCTCCTGAGTGCCACCATGCCTAGTAGAAATCATATGCTCTTAAATATTCACTCTAAGATCCCTTTAAGTGAGAAACTCCCCTAACAGGTCTATTTTATTTGGTTTATTTTTCTGTACCAGGGTTTGAACTCATGGTCTTGAGCTTGCTAGGCAGGCACTCTACCACTTGAGTCATGCTTATATTTAAAACATAGTCAATTCACAAGTTTTTATTTGCACAGAAATTTAAATATATTGGGTAACATGCAGCTCTTTTCAGGTTTTATTGTACCCTCTCCCACCCTGCTCCATGGAATACAAGGATAAGTGTTATTAACCTAAGAGATCCCACACCAACACATTCCCCCTTTATGCGTAGGTTTTCATCCACCTCATTCATCTGTGTGTGTTGCTGAGAATTGAACCCAGGGCCTTTCACGTACCATTGAGCTATATCCCCAGCCCCCATCTCATTTTTCAAACCACTACCGTGGCCATGGTAGGTTTTCCAGGGGCATTGCATTTTAATTAGTGCACTGCAAGGGAGGGTAGTACTGTACAAAGCCAACGTTTTTCTTTTAGTCATAACACCTTCAGGTTTCAAGCTTGGTTTTACCCTTTCATTGCTCTGCATCCTTAGGCAAGCTTAACCAATTTGCGCCTCAGCTGTTTCCAGTGTCCACTTGAGATATTAACTACTCTGCCTGGGGTTTGTAAAGATTAAATGAAAAAAAAAAAACCCCATTTAGGACTAGGGTGTGGCTCAAGTGGTAGAACACTTGTCTAGCAAGTGTAGACTCTGAGTTCAATTCCCACTACTGCTAAAAGTATATATATTGAATACACCAGACAGAAGCATTATTTCTTATGACTACTTGGGTAGTGTCCCTTTGTATATTATAGGAAACCTGGTTTATATTTTTCTTAATGCTGGAGAATGAAAACTTTGATCTATCCAGAGCACATCTGTTGAGATCCAAAGAACACACCTAAAAGGAAAAAGTAAAAGCAACTTGAAATATAATTGTGAGACTCCATAAAACAAGGACATTATGGTTTTGTCAATTTCTCAAAGGACTGATTTTCCAATAACTTTAGCAGTGAGGGGTTGTTCCCTGTGCTTGGCATATTTAATGAAAAGGCAAAACAAACTGCCCCAAAGCAATCCTCACGTTTATGGATAGATAAACGTTAGATAACTCAGCACGGTCTTTGTACTGAACACAAGCAAGAACTCTGTAGCTGCACTATGAAATGGTGTGGCCTCCCAGCCAGAATTCAAGTGTGTTCCAATTCTTGTGGAAAAGCCTGGGTATGGTTTCTTGAAAGATAAGAAATTATGGAGACAGAAAGGGCTGCCAGGGATGGGGACTGGGGTGAGCAGTGGGAAGGTCATAGTGAATCTGGCTAGAAAAAGAGTCAATGGCCAGGCGCTGGTGGCTTATGCCTGTAATCCTAGCTACTCAGGAGTTAGAGATCAGGAGGATAGAGGTTCGAAGCCAGCTCGGGCAAATAGTTCGCCAGATCCTATCTCGAGAAACCCTTCACAAAAATAGGGCTGGTGAAGTAGCTCAAGGTTAAGGCCCTGAGTTCAAGCCCCTGTACTGCTTAAAAAAAAAAAAGTCAACGCCAGTTAATGCTCTTCCTAAAGGGTTCGGGAGAGGATAAGTGGGATAGATCCAATTAAAAATCAAAACAGAGGAACAGGAAATGAAAGATTCCAAATTACTGACCCAATGACCTAAAATAACGTAAAACAAAACTCTCTAGAAGAATAAAAACTAGCCAAGATTCTGTCAAAAAGAAAAGGTTGCTGAGAGAAATTAGTGAGGAGACATTCCCAAGCCAGGAATTCTAGAGGTAAGAGATAAAGTCCTGTATGGTAGAAACTCCAAAATGATGGCGAGTGGTTGTGCAGCCTGTATTACTGTATTTCTGACAACAGCCTTACTTTTGCCTACAGCTAACAAGCCAGAATTGGAAAACAGCTCCTAAAAAGTCAAGCCAATGTCATGAAGCCAGTTGTGCAAAACGATATTTTGGGTATGTTTTTACCATGAACAGTAACTTCAATGGTATCTTAAATCTTGACCTAGATAGAATCTGAGCAATTTGTAGACGCCACAGGTAATTAGATTTTTAGTTCTTAACAGGATCTTGCATAATTCTTGGAAAAAGAGTGTGGTGTTACTTAGAGACACAGTGATGAGTTTTTTCTATTGAACATTTCCAATCAGCCCACCAATCAGTGTTAGTAGCATTTAAATATGATCACTTTCCATTCAAATAAGAATATTTAACAACAACAACAAAAACGAGTAAGAGAATGAAAAATAGGTAGTGATAAAGAGAATCAAGGTAAGAAGCCTAGTAGAGTCTGGATGTGTTTGTAGGAGTTGAGTTTATTTTAGAAGAAAGCAGCACAGATCATTAGTGTTGGCACTTTATGGTTCCAGACACATGTAATGCTATCTTGGGAAAACTCAGGTTTCTATCTTAGAACTTTTCTGGGAAATAAAGAATGAGGTCTTAATGATAAAATCCTAAGAGATTCTTGATGCTCTACTGAGCATAAAAGCTTCAACTTTCATAGCTTAAAAAATATCTGGCATGTAAAAACAAAAAGCTACCACTGCACACATAATTGAATTATGGAGAGGGAGAGCTGGGAGGAAGCTTAGAAAAGCTCTTTTCCCATCTTTTATTGGTTCTGGTAAGGGTTCAAAGCTAGAAGCAGAGCAGGAGCCAGAACCTAGGTGTCCTAACTTCCAAACCAAAACATTTCCCACTCTTCCAGATGATTTAACCACCATTAAAATCTGGACTTTTCATTATGTGGGCAATACTTGATGTTTTAAGATAGCAGAGTAATCAGACTGTTGACAAAATTTATCCTTTATCAACTGTGCCTGGGAATTTTCTGTAAAAATCATGTTCCTTAGTCTCCCCTGGGGCCACTCTGGAGAAATGTCTCTTACCTGACTTTTGTCGTTCAAGATGCTGTATTTTGGGCTGAGTCAGATCTAACCTGATTTATAAGTGGTCATTTAGTAGCAATATGCAAAGTAGCTTATAGTTAAATAGAACTGCTTGGCTCTGGTTTAGCTATTTTTTCTACGTAATACCTAGAAATGACAACACATAACAATACTAAAGAGAAAGGTTTGCTTACAAAACTGATCACTTGTAACAAGTTCTTCTGTTTAAAGAATGGCCCCATTCATTTGAGTTATGTGATTTTATATCAAAATATTTATGAAAATATCTTAGCTAATATGTAGATATTGATCAATATTCTTTTAGATAGATATTAAGGCCAAAACTCAGAAGGTCAATATGAACTTGCATCTTATTTTAAATATCCATTTTATCTTTTTCCTTTTAAGTAGACTTTATTTTTTAGGGCAGTTGTAGGTTCACAGTAAAGTTGAGCAGGAAATATAGACATTTCCCATATGCTTCCTGTCCCCAGACATCCACAGCCAAATCCATTATCAACATATCCTGCACCATAGTGGCACTTTAGTTACAGTCATGAACCTACGTGGACATATCATTGCCACTCAAAGCCCATAATTTATATTAGAGTTCACTCTGCTGTTATACATTCGCATTCCATGGGTTGCAACAAGCTTGTAATGGCGTATGTCTCCCAATATAGTATCATACACAACAGCTTCACCGTCCTGAACATCCTTTTTGCTCTCCCTCCTCCCCAGTTCCCAGCAACCACTAATCTAGCTCTGTTTTTGTCTTTTCCAGAATGTCGTATAGTTGAAACCATTCAGTGTGTAGCCATTTCAGATTGGCTTCTTTCACTTAATGATACCCATTTCAGGTTCTTCTGAGTGTCTTTTCATGGTGTAAAAGCGTCTTTCTTTTTGGCACTAGGTAATATTCCACTGTGTGGATTTACTCCACTCACCTAGGAAGGACATCTTGCTTCCAGGTTTTGACAATTATGAATAAGCTGCAGTATTTTTGTGTGGACTTCAATTCATTTGGGTAATTACCAAAGAGCACGACTGCTAGCTCAGATAGTATATTCAGTTTTGCAAGAAATTGTCAAAATCTTTTTCAAAGTTCCTGTATCATTTTGCATTCCCACCAGCAATAAAGGAGAGTACCTGCTGCTCTATATCTTAATGAGCCCCATTCATTAACAACATTTGAAGTTGTTGTTCTAGATTTTCATCGTTTTAATAAACTTGTAGCAGTATCTCTTTTTAATTTGCATTTCCCTAATGGTATATAGTGTGGGGCATTGTTTGTATATGCTCATTTGCCATCCGTATTCTTCTCCAGCGAGATGCCTGCTCAGAACATTTACCCACTTTTAAATTGGATTTTTGTTTTTATTGTTGAGTTTTAAGTGTTCGTTGTATACTTTAGATAATAGACCTTTATCAGGTGTCTTTTGCAAATATTTTTTGTTGATTTGTGGCATTTCTTGTCATTCTCTTGACAATGTCTTTTGCAGAAGTTTTAAATTTTAATAAAGGCCAGCTTGACTATTATTTCTTTTAAGGATCATGCCTTTGGTGCTATACCTAAGAAGTTACCATCTAGATTTTTCTCTTATCTTCTAGAAACTTTATAGTTCTGCATTTTATAGTAATTTTTATAGTTTCTGTATGTAGGTCCATGGTCCATTTTAATTTTTGTGAGGGGTGTATATGTACTTATATATACATACAGATATATATATACATACATATATATATATATATATATGTATATTTGCATGTGAATGTTGAGCTGTTTAGTTCCAGTATCATTTGTTGAAAAAACCTATCTTTCCTCCACTGGATTGTTTTTGCTCCTTTGTCAATTTTCATTGTTAACACTAGCAATGAAATCAATTTTAACAGATTTGTGGGTGCTAAAACAACCATTTTTTTTTCACTAAACAATTTGCATTTATGTGGCTCTATTTTTGGACTATATTCGGCTCCATTGATCATTTGCCTAGTTTCATGTCAATACCATAGTCTTGATTACTGTAGCTTTAAGATTAACCCTGAAGTTGGGTGGTGTCATTTCTGTGACTTTGTGGTTCTCCTTTAATATTGTGTTGGCCATTCTGGTTCTTTTGCCCTTTCATATAAACTTTAGAATCAACTTGCTGATATTCATAAAATAACTTTTTGTGATTTTGGGATTATTTGATCAAGTTGGAAAGAACAGACATCATGACAATACTAAGCCATATTATTCCTGAATACGGAACATGTCATTTATTTAGTACTTTATTGGAATTTTTGTTTTCCTCATCAAAATCTTATACATGTTTTGTTAGATTTATACTTAAGAATTTCATTTTGGGGGTGCTAATGTAAATATTGTTTTATTGTTTTTAAATTTCAAATTCTGCCTGTGTGTTGGTCGCATATAGGACAGTTGACTTTTATATTTTAGCCTTGTATTCTGCAACCTTGTTATAATCACTAATTAGTTCCAGAAGCATTTTTTTTTGGTTGATTCTTTTTCTACATAGATGACAGCATCATCTACAGTTTTATTTCTTCCTTCCCTGTGAAAACCTTTTCTTTCTTTTTTGTCTCATTGCATTAGCTAGGACTTCCAGTATAATGGTGAAAAAGACTAGTGAGAGACATCTTTGCCTTTTTCCTAATCTTAGTAGGCAAGCTTCTAGTTTCTCATCATGAACATATTAACTGCAGATTTTTTGGTAAGTATTCTTTATCTGGTTTGCTGAGAGGGGGTTTTTGTTTGATTGGTTGGTTGGTTTAAATCATGAGTATTTTATTCAATGCTCTTTCTGTCTGTGGATATGATCATTTGCTTTTCTTCTTAAGACGTGACAGATTATTTTCAAATGTTGAAATGTTTTGCATACCTGAGGTAAATTTCACTTGATTTTTTTTCAGACAGGTGTCACTATGCAGCCCTAGGCTGGCCTTGATCTTGTGATCTTTCTGTCTCAGTTTCCTGAATTCTGAGATTACATGTGTACACTATTACACACGGCATAAAATTTTTAAATACAATGAAACCAATTTTAGCTTATTTGTGGGTGCTAAAATAATCATTTTTTTAACCAAACAACAAAACCATTAATAGATTCTAAAACTTCATCTTTATGAATTTAATCATAACTTTTGCCAAGAACTTCTTAGAACAAGTACACCTTTAGGAATTTTAAATCTATGAGAATATCTGATACTTTTCAGAGATACACTAAGAATCCATACATTCTTTTTCTGTGCATGCACACAGAGATAATTTAGTGCCAATGTTTTATGATTAGACAGGTATAAAGTAGTTTCACAACTGGTTACAAAATGTCTTTGTATTTTCAAGCTCACTATACAGCAAAAGGAGGAGAAAAAAGTTAGAAGACAAGGACACACTGATAGGTGTTTCAAAAGTTACTTTTATTGTTACATTCCAAAGAGGACATAGGAAGAAAAAAGCCAGTTATCCAATAACTATTATGCTTTTCAGAGAAAGGCAACCAGAACCCCAGTCCTAGTTCAAAGCTGCACATATTAGAGCTCAAACAGCTGCCTTTCCACATGACTAGACCCAGGGAGCCTTGGGTTTAAAAGAAAATTTCTTTATTGCAAGTGTCCAAGTCCTTAAGGATACTAAAAGATGAGGAAGACCACACACACCAGGACTATGTTTAGTCATTAGAGTAAACTAGCAAATGGCCAGTTTGTTCTAGGATGCATTGCATCAGACATCACAGTACATGAGGAAAATCTGCATTTTGTGAAGAGCCGACAGGCATTTCAGATCCAGGTTACCACAAAATGCAGCCACAGGCCAACAGAATACCTAGATAACATGGTCAGTGCAAAAGTCAAATGGGTAAGTCATTCTTTGATGAGGCTGGTTACACTGGAAAAGATTAACGGATTTGAAAATAGGTGTGGGCTATTTACAAAAGATTGCTTAGTAAAGTGACTTGAGAAGAGCTGCATTAAGCACTTCCCACGCAGCCCTCCCTTCTCCCACCAAAAAGAAAAAAAAAACAAACCCTGAATATTATCTTGAAAATCAAGTTAAAACTGTGTGGTGAAAAAGAGAGTGCTTGTTTCAGGTAAAGAACTTCAAAATAATTTACAGGCAGATTTAATTTTATTAGTAAAAGTCACAAGTACGAAAAGACTTATAGGCTGACTTTGAACTCTGTGCTTTTAAAAATGTCTCCATTGGTACATTAACAAGAAAAAATACTATGCATGTTTTTGCTTCCAATTTTGAGTCTTCAGCAAGAGTTGGTGAAATCAACAGGGTATTAAAATAAAACCCAGGAAAACTCGGTTACTTCTTTCCAATTGTCTGCTGTTTTTCTAGTCTCCTTGAATTCCATTCCCAATTAGCTGAGGACAACGTGACGGTCAAAGACAGACTTTCGCTGCTCTTGAACTTGAAGTTTCCAGCGCTGCTGGGCATACTCTACCTTGTTCAGAACATTGGCTCGACTCCGGGAGCGGGCCAGCACATCATGGGCATTTGCAAAAGGCTGGTGATCCTGAAAGTCCAGACAGAGATGACAAGATCAGTGTAAAACACATACAGAGAACGCGTGAGCTAGGCACAGGGATAGAGCATCTATGTGACTGAGCACTCCTAGACACTCAGCTACTTAAAGTAGGATGAACTCAGTTATAGAAATAGGTGATTCAGGAAACATAAGCAACGAAAGGGTATTTGTGAAAGAAAAGTTTCCATGGGTCACCATTTTCAAAGAAGTAAAGACCAAGATAAGAACAGTGGTCATTTGTGTTAAAGAGAAGTCTTCCCTGATTAGTAAGGGAAAGAAAGTCTATTTTTTTTTTTTTTTCCTTTCTGTTTTGAGACAGGGGCACACTATGCAGCCCAGGCTGGCCTTGAACTTGTAATCCTCCTGACATATAGGCATACACCACCACACTGGGTATAGGGAAGTCTATTTTGAAGCCAGATTTGGTAGCACAGGCCTGTGATCCCAGCACTGAAGAGGCAGAGGCAATAGGATCTCATGTTCAAGCCCAGCAGAGGCTACATAGTGAGACTTTGTCTCAAAAAAAAAAAAAAAAAAGAAAAGAAAAAAAAGGTCTATTTTCACATTTATAGGGTTATAGGGTTTTTAAGGTGGTTTTTTTTCTTCTTTTTTTTTTGTATTAACACTATACAGCTAATTTGTGTCAGAGGAAAGATCTGTTTTTTAATATCCTGACTCCTATTATATTAGAATTGTTTACTTGGCAGCTTGGGGCCACATTCACCATGGCAGATATTGACAGGGTCTTTGATTTTAATCTGTCCCTATACCCTTACACATACACTGAATGGATAGTTTCCAAACGTTTTATTCTTTTCCCCCTTCTGCAATCTGCAATGAAAAGAGACACAAGTGCTACAATAGCTTAAGTGCTAGTATTACTCTCTGTTACCAAGGTCAGTGAGGAATTATTTACCTCAGCATCTCTATTCAAGGAAGACTTGACTCTTTCATTGCTGAGTGGCTTGAACCCCAATGGCTTTCAAGTTAATTGCTGTCTCAGAAAAGAGGCTACTGGAGGGTTATCCTGGTATCTGTGTAGAAAACCAACCTCTCCCGGCCAAAGTAAACTAATACAAGTGGATGTTTGTAGTCATTACACAGGAAACCACCCTATTAATCTGCCTATGAATGAGATATAAACACAGCTGCCCAAATGACAAAAAAAAAAAAAAAAAAACCCTCAATAATTATTTACTGTTTTTTATTTTGCTTTTTCCTTGATCTCTTTTTCCTGAACTCCATGTTGGCAAAGTTTCTAAATGTTCCAACACAGGCTGCAAGTCACAAGTCAGACCTCTTAAACTAAGCTGTGTCACTAGGAAAGAAGCAACATAATCCCGTGATGCATGTCCACAACAGCCCTATTACATAACAGGGGCAGGAGGGAGATGTATATGGAAAGATGCATAACCACTCAACTCTATATACAACCATAACTATATGTTGCTATAGTACCTGGTCTTGTTTTTAGAACAAGACATTTACACCGTGTCTGTATTTTCAAATTTTTCTGTAAAAATTCTTTCCTTGCCTTCTCTACCAAGGTGTACTCAAATTTTCACTTAATTTAGGTAATGGTTTGTGAAAATTCCATCTATTACTTATTTTTAACCTTACAAATGAAGACAGTAAGGAAAATACCATTAAGTCCAAAATATTCAAAATTATAAGAAGGAAGGTAAAGTGGAGAGCTAAAGTTGCAGGATTACTTGATTTCTGATACAGAAATAAACTAACCCAAGGTCATTTAACAAATTCACAAACACTAAAACTCAGCTTGCCTAACCTTGACTTGGTGTCACAGCTTCCAAACACACAGGTTTTGTTCAGGTAGATTAAAATGACATTATAAGAATATGGTGCTTCAACGAGATTGTATATAAAATATTACCATTGACTTATTTTGACATAAACAATAATGAGAAGAAGGATGGACTTTATCAACAGAGAACTTCTCAGTTTCATAGTCCTGTCATCTATGCTTCAAGGTAGAGGAAGAAAAATTCTTAAGGAACAAATTCAAAAGACTAAACAAACCAGTTAATCCTTTTGGTCTGTTTTCCACCTATTGGAACAAGATTGAACTAGCTGCTTGTGGTCACGGATGCTGGGAGAATGCTAATAGAGATTTACTCTTTTCATGTGTTTGTTCTTTTTACACTTGATAAAATTACAATGAATACAAAACAGGTTTTAATGTAATGCTTTGATAATAGTGATGATGTGTCATGGATATATGATACAATAAATATTATGACTGCTTGTGAGCTTTTTAACTATTTGCATTAACTTTTACTTGGCTTAAAATGCTCTACACTGAATAGAAATGGGAAAAAAAATGAAACATGAAAATACTTGAAAAAGAACATTTAAAACAGTACATAAATAGTGAAGAACTCATATCTTAGATAGGCAATAATCTCCTGGAATTTAAACTTAACTTCTTTTTGTACAGAGTTGTTACCCTAAATTGGTCAGAAAATCTCTTTCTGCCTAGAATCAGTTCAACAACACCCATGAGTTAGCAAGCCTTGGTAACAATGTTCTCAAAAGGTCAATGTACAGGCAGAATTAATCACTGATGGGCAAAATGGTTACTAAGCACATGAACCAATCAATCAAATGCTTGCCCTGCAAATTTTTACCTATACATCTATGCGTCCATTTGTCTTATGTTTTGTGTGCATTATGTTTGCATTGCCTATTTCTAAAGTCAACAAGTATTTAATGCTGTAAAGGAGTCAACTCTCAACGTATGCTGAGAATAACGAAAATGTTTATGGGGACGGTGATACACAATATTTTCATGTCAGTAGTTCTCAACTGGGGGTAATTTTGTCCCTCTGCCCTGGGACATTTGGCAATGTTTGTGGACATTTTTGATTGCCATGACTGGGATGGCATCAGGAGTCACCTGGCCTCAGTCAATAGAGGTCAGGGACACTGCTGACCTCTAACATCTAACACTGAACAGGACAGAACTCCACAACAAAGAATTATTCAATCCTAAATATCTAGTGTCAGGGTTGAAAACCTGCACTTGTGAAAGAAAATTAACATGGAAAGTATTTGAGACTCTAATGCTTTTGATATACAACCTCTTATTTTTCTAGCTTTTTGTACTCATTAACCCCACTAGAACTGTTTTTAGACAACATCAGATCTCCAGTCTTAACTCTTCTCCCAGTGTATCAGCCATCTTCTGGAATTCTTGAAAAATAAATGTATGTTTTACTAAGGTAGGCATGGTAGTGCATTCTATAATGCCAGCATCATGGAGGTTGAGGCAAGATTTCAAGTTTTGAGGCCAGCATGGGCTACATAGTAAAACTCTATGAATGAATGAATAAATAAAATATTTATTTCTTATATGATGAAAAATAAAAGAGGGGAAACACTATTTTTTTAAGTCATTTCTTTTACATGTCTGTTTCTGTTTTATTCATCTCTTTATTCCTAGCACCCAATGCATCACACAAAAAACTTAAATTCATTATGTTTTGGTTGAATTAATAAAAGAAGCGGGGGGAAAAAAGGCAAACAAGTATTTCTATAAAAGTTCCCTAGAGCCAGGCCCTGGTGGCTCATGCCTATAATCCTAGCTATTTAGGAGACATAGATCAGGAGGATCACGGTTTGAGGCCAGACCAGGGGAAAATAGTTTATGAGATCCTACCTCAAAAAAACCCATCACGGGGGCTCGTGATGTAGCTCAGTGGTTGAATGTTTGCCTCACATGCACAAGGCCCTGGGTTCGATCCCCAGTACTTCAAAAAAAAAGAAACAAAAAAAAAAACCAAACCCTCAAAAAAGGGCTGGTGGAGTAGCTCAAGTGGTAAGAGTGCCTGCTTAGCAAGCATGAGGCCCTGAGTTCAAACACCAGTGCTGCCAAAAGAAGAAGATTTATTTATAAAAAATTAAATCTTACTCAAATAAGTGGAGTATCCTTACCTGATATTCAGGAGACAATAGTATGTTGATCAAAAAGCAGGCTCTCTTTGTAGTTATAATTCAAGCCATCCCCCTTCTTAGTTCTCACTAACAGGTCCACAAAGGCATTCCAGAGTAAAAGGACTTTGACTGGTTGGTGAGCTAACTCTGGTTTTTACAACTGACTTTTGAAACTATAGTGAATTTTATTCTCTTTCAGGAACACAGACCAATAAAATAATTCAAATGAAAACAATTATAAATAATAATCTATGATAATGAAACAATGAAAAATTAAAAAACAGTCCCAAATAGAATAATAATAAAACTGCAATATAATTCTTTTTTCTGATGGTACTTGGGTTTGAACTCAGAGCCTCTGGCTTGTCAGGCAGGTGCTCTAGATAATATAATTTTTAAGCTATACTAAATAACAAGCTTATAGACTATGTCAATTTCTTGACCTTTTTTTTTTTGGTGTTACTGGAGTTTGAACTCAGGGCCTCTATACTTACTAGGCAGGCATTCTACTGTTCTTGAGCCATGCCCTAGCCTTTTTTGCTTTTATCTGTGGTACTGGAGTTTGAATTCAGGGCCTCACACTAGCTAGGCACTTACTCTACCACAATGAGCCAATCCACCAGTCCAGGTTATTTTTGAGATAGGGTCTCACTTTATGCCTGGGCAGACCTGGACTGCAATCCTCCTATTTATGCTTTCTACATAGGTAGGATGACACTCTCCCCAGCTTTTAATGGATGAGATGGGGTATGGTGGACTTTTTGCCTGGGCTGTCCTTGAACCTCAATCCTCCTGATCTCTGCCTCCTGAATAACTAAGGATTATAGGCTTGAGCTACCAAACCCAGCAATTTCTAGACATTTTTGAATGAAATAATGTTAAAACAAAAAGTAGATCACAAAACAATTTATACACTGATTATGTCAACTATATGTACAAATATAAATATGTTTTAACAATAGGATGAAGATATGGAGAAATGCTTTTATTTTTTTCTAGAGTTAAAAAAAGAAGCAGGAGGAAAAAAGGTTAAGTTTTCAACACATGGATAAGAAAATCATGTCATGGTCTTTACATTTTCTTCAGCAAATTCCCTCTGCCTTCTAAAATATTAAGTGATAATAACAGGAAGTGTTTCCAGTAGGAGCCTGGGAACAAACGACTATCTCAGGACAAGGCCTTACACAGTGCCTAGCTAAAGAGCATCAGTTCAAACTGCCACATAAGACTTTCCACAAGGGTTTCCTCATTAAAAGATATATACCTAAGTTAGAACTCTCTTTAGTTTCTCAGGGTGAGGATTTGCTCCAGCATGTGAACATACCTATGCAATCATTTCTCACTTGCACTTGACATCTCTTCAGTATGGGCTCAACCAGGGTAAGATATACCATGTACAGAAGCAGAAGCCCCAAAATAGAGAGATAAATGATAATGGTAACCTAAAGGAAATTGAAAATAAGTTATAAGCCAAAAAATCAAATTTTGTATGCTAATAGCAAAGTCACAGTGCATACTGATATATCTGTTAGGCATGTAGGATTTCTATACCAATGAGATTAATGTTAAGAAACAAACTCAACTCTTCACCAAGGTATTACTTCAGGAAAAAAGAGGAAAGAAAGCATTTTATCTTTGGGACCTTTTTTTATGAGTTTTCAAAGCTCCAACTTTACCTACTGCTAATCATTTGTCACCACTGCTAGCACAGTGCTTTTCTCCTTTCAGATGAACACAGTGTCCTAGACTCAGGAGCACTGGTGCCAAAACAACTAAAAGGAATCCTAAAGACAACACAATTCAGATGAATTTCAACAGACTAATCTTTTAGATCAATTTAGGTCTACAAAAACACTTTTTTAGGCCAGTTACTTTCTTGAGATACTAACTCCTGTGTTAACCAAAATTATGTGACACACCCAACTAAAGTGGCTCTAAAAAAACAGACAATACCAGTTGTTGGCAAGGACAGGGAGAAATGGGACCCTCACACACTCCTGGCAAAATGGCACAACCACTTTGGAAAACAATCTGGCTGTCTTTTAAGAGAAAGGGAAACATAGGTACACACAGACATGCATGCAGATATTCGTGACAGTAGTATTCATAACAATAAATCTGGAAATAATCCAAATATTCATCAACTGATGAATGGATATTCATATAATAGAATACTATCTAACAATAAAATGAAGTAGTGATACATGCTACAACTTAGATAAAAATCAAAACCTAGCCAGACGCTTGGTGGCTCACACCTATAGTCCTAGCTTCTCAGGAGTCAGAGATCGGGAAGACCACGGTTTGAAGCCAGTCCAGGCAAACAGTTCACAAGACCCTATCTCAAAAAACCCATCACAAAAAAGGGATAGTGAAGTGGCTCAAGATGTAGGCCGAGTTCAAGTCCCAGTACCACAAAAAACAAACAAACAAACAAAAAACCATTATGCTGGGGGTGGAGGGGAGGGGGCACAAACAATATATACACATGTAAGTAACTGTAAAAACGATAAAATAAAAGGAGAAAAAAACCACATTATGCTAAGTGAAAGAAGCCCATCATAGAAAACCACATTTTATATTTTCCATTTATATGAAACATTCAGATGTATACAGACAGAAAGAAGAATAGTTATTTGGAATAGGGATTGGAATGTCTTAAAATTGGATTTTAACCTGTAATCCCAGCTATTTGGGAAGTAGATACTGAGAAGATCACAAATTGAGAGCAGCCAGGGCAAAAAGTTAGTAACACTCCAACTCAACAAATAAGCTGGGAAGGGTGATCAAGCCTGTATTTCCAGCTATGTGGGGATTTGGAAGTAGGAGGACTGTGGTCAAGGACTGTCCTGCAAAAGCTGAGACTATGTAAAAACAAAAGTAAAGCAAAAAGGACTGGGGCATGGCTTAAGTGATGGAGTGCTTGCCTCAAAAACATGAAGCCCTGAGTTCAAACCTCAATACTACCAAAACCCCCTGCATTTTAAAAAGTTGATTTGTTAATAAAGGGCAAAAAACCTGTTGAAATTGTTCTAAGAATTTAGAACAATTCTTAGAATTGGTGGCGGGGAAGGGAGAATGATGGAGGCAATGAATCTGATTAAGATATATTCTAAGCACATATATAAATATCACAATGAAATCCCCTGTACAACAAATATATGCTAATAAAAATTGGGTTTTTTAAAAAAGGTTGCTTTGTTGTTTGTTTTTTCTTTTTGAGACAGCATCATTATGTAGCCCAGACTAGCCTCAAACTCATAATTCTCCTGCCTCAGCTTCTCAAGTGCTGGGATTACAGATGTGCACAACTGTGCCTGGCCAAAAACTGCTTTAAATGTACTAAAATTTATGGAATTATACACCTAAAATAAGTGAATTTTAGGTTACATGAATTATACATCAAAAAAATCTGTTAAAAAACAAAGCACGTGGCTGGATCTGTAGCTCAGTGGCACAGTATTGGCTGGGTGTGCACAAGGCCCTGTGCTCCATTCCCAGTACCATAGAAATAACCACCACAAAAACAAACCACCCAAGTGCAGTGAGGCATTCTCTATAGCACTGCACTCCTGCTGAGGCAGGAGATCGCAAAAAGAAGTGATTTCTGTGACTCTTATGATTGACCCCGATCCACTACAAGGCTCTTTCCTGAGAACAAATGGGAAGCACCATATAAAAAGGGAAAATAACCATTTGCCAGAATAATAAAGTAATTACCCTCATTAGAGATCCAAACAGTGATGATAGTGATCTGCTACAGGAATTGAAGGAGGGAAATCTTAAAATCCAGAAGTAATGCTTCTAGAACAGTTACTATAAATATAATTTACTCTAAGTGTTGGAGGGCAGGGAAAAGAGGACTTACTCATGCTACTGTCTCACCAGCCTTTGGTGTACAAAGAGAGAAACTAGGGTATCTTTCTGGAATATGTTCATTAAATATAGCACTTTTTTGTGCCATTTTACATAGCTATCTAACACATTCTAAACAAATCAGAAAGCATCTCAATTATGCAGGCTAAAAGCAGGTCCGTTGTGTCTTTTAGGGAGGGGATTCAACATTTCCTGTCTTGTCTGGGTCCGTGTGTACTTCACCTTAATTGTGACAGAGCTTCTCTCCTCGTACTTGCACTCACAGCGCAAACAGTATGCCTCTACATCAGGCCCCCGCACAGGCATGGGCTCCACAACATGAAGGCAGTCACTGCAGAAACAAGGATAAAATAAAAATACTGCCTAATCCTGACCTGATTTTCTACTTTCACTGATTAAAACTTTCCTGAAATAATCATTTCCATTTTTTCCAGAATCATCACTGAACTTACCAAGTGGAAGAATATAAAGGACAAATAACCACAAAAGCAAAGCAGAATTATTTCCAGTCTCAGTGTTAGCACTTTGGGAAGATTTAACAGTCTAAGAAGCCTTAAAGCAAAAGACACATATGTAATAGTTGTCTGTTTTCAAGTTGCTATTGTTAACACTTACAAATGTACCTGGAAAAATCCCAAATGGGATAAAAAAAAGAAAAGCTTAAAAAAGCAAATCATAGTTAGACTTTCTCAGTTACCAAGTGAAACTACTTTAAATGGTTCAAAGTGACATGAGACATTGTTTAAATATGAGATTATCTCTTTTGTGAATTAACATCATTCTCTACTGCCACAGAGTGACACATGAAAATGATTTATACATTTAATAGAGGGGCAAATTCTGAAACTTTAAAAACTGAACATTGGAAGACACTGTAAGACATAATTACTTTCTTAATAAACAAAAGACTACTGAAAAGTAAGGCAAAGTAGGAATAGGACAAATAGGACAATAAAAGTATTTTAACTTTCTACCCTTAAGAAATGCGTATGAAATAAAAAGGGCTGAGGAAGAGAAAACCCATAACAGAGGTGCTCCACTTCAAAATCAGAGAGGTAATCTTGCTCAACATCTGTATAAGGTCACAGAGTAAATTAGTAGCTGAAAAAGGACAAGGATCTAGGTCTCCTCCCTAAGTCAGCCCTGCTTATCTACCTCAGGAAAATGAGACTTATCTCCCGTTAGTTTCCTATCTGAGGTTCATATGCCTCTGCAGCAATATCTAAGGATTACTGGGGAATCTATCTATGTGCTGAGTAAGTCCTGAGTATTTCCTCTAAAGGACAAATACATTTTAGCAACAAAAAGGAGTTGAGCGCATGACAAAGCTGTGCAGGAGGCTGAGGCAGGAGCCAGTCCTGGGCTATACAGTGAGACTCCATCTCAAAACAGTAACAACAACTACCTAACACACAGACACAAGAAAGGAAAAGGGAGAGGGAGGAAGGGAGGGAGGGAGAGAGAGAGATAGAGGGAGAGAGAAAAGGAAGGAAGGAAGGAAGAAAGAAAGGAAGGAAGAAGGAAGAGGAAAAAAAAAAAAACTTGTACAGTGTTAAAAAAGAAGCTCCAGGAGGGTTGGTTCTGACTGACCAGTTATAGCAAGATACAGCTCAACCACTTTTAGGAACTAGGCAACACCTCCCCCTACTGCCAAAAGGAAGACACTTTCAGCTTTGAGCAACACCCCAAACACAAACCAGAGTACTACTCTTTATTTTTCTTGTTTTAAATCAGCCAGTATAAGTCAATGATTAAAGCTAACAACTGGACAAAATGACTAGTCTAGAAAGCAGAAGGTAAGAATATATTAGATACTTAGAGATAATGGGAGCCTCAGGAAGCCGTAACATCCTGGTTGATCATAACTTGCCTGTCTTCCTAAAACAAATCTCCAGTGTCATTTGGGACCCTATTCTTATGGCTGAGTTGCAGGAAAGCAAGGGAAGAGAGAAGGAGAGAAGAAAGATGCTGAACAAACCTTGTTTGCAATTGATTATTTTCAGAGCTCCCTATTTTAACTAAGAACCTGGGATGAACAACATATGGTTCTGTCTAAGCCTATAACAAAAAGTGAAAATATTATTATTAAACACTTGAATAGTGAGTTCATTTGCCACTCAAATAGTAGACATCATATTAAATCGCATAAATCGACTATAAGTATTCGATATCTTTGGAAAATGTATAGAAGTAACTTAAAGGTTTACTTGAGGGCTAGGGATGTAGCTCAGTGGTGGAGCACTTGCCTAGAAACCCTACTGTGAAAAGACAAGAAAGAAGGGAGGGAGGGAAGGAGTAGAGGGGGGGAAGAGGAGACAGACAGAGAGAGAGAGAGAGAGAGAGAGAAAGAGAGAAATAAACCCTAGTATGACAAAAGAAAAAAAAGAGCTTTCTTGTATTATATAAAATAACCTGCTGATAAAAAACATATTTAGCCAAATCACTTTGCAATATGAAACCTTTTGAAATGGAATACAGAAAGTCACAAGTTCTCAAGAACACTCCAAATAGACTGATATAAATCATGGGAAGAATAAACTAACATCAGAGAAACTAAATGTGCTTAAAGAGTGCCTTTTTGGCTGGTGGAATGGCTCAAGTGGTACAGCACCTGTCTAGCAAGCATGAGGCCCCGAGTTCAAACCTCAGTACTGCCAAAAAAAAACTCCCCCCAAAACAAAAGTGCCTTTTCTCTTTTCAATGAATATTTTGACTGAATGAATATAATCTTGCTTTCAGACTCTTTGCTGGATACAGAGGTGTAAAATCACATGCATGTGAAAATACCTAGCATTTAGGGCTATTTTCCTTGGAATCCTAGCTCATCAATCTTCCATTGTAGTTACAAACTATAAAACATCACAATTCCACAGGAACACATTAATCTGCTATTAACAAAACTGCTTTCCAAATGTTTGGAATGGCACATGTTGGGAAAGCTATATAAGTGCCACTAGGATAAACAAAAAAGGCTGCTGGTGAAGGCTAGTCTGTCAGGATTCCAGTCATTACAGGCCTGCCTGATTGCCCCAGGGGTGTAAGCAATCACTATCTCGGCAGACCTTCGGTTATTTACACACAACGAATCTGAAACTCTGACATATATAGTGTATTCTCATTCATTCCTGAACTTTCTGACACCTTTAAACATAGTCTTCCATATGTGGCAACATGTCATGAAAACTTTTAAGTTGTGGCTAAGCATGGTTGTATGTATTTGGAATCACAGTATTCAGGAGGTAGAGGCAGAATGATTGACAGTTCAGGTCGAGGCTGGATTGCATAGTGAGTTCCAGGCCAATCTAGAATACACAGTGAGACCATATCTCAAAAACCCAAAACAGCCAGTTACTGATAAGTCATGCCCATAATCCTAGCCACTTTGAAGGCAGACATCCGAAGTATCAAAGTTCAAGGCCAGCCCAGGCAAACATTTTGTGAGATTCCCCCACCTCCAAAATAACCAGAGAAAAATGGAGGCTTGGCTCAAGTGAAGCGCCTGCTTTGCAAAAGCAAAGTCCTGAATTCAAACTCCAGTCCCATCAAGAAAAACAAAACAAAACAATAACAAACACAAACAACCCACCTCCCACAAAAAAAACTTGTAAGTTGTAAAAATTACAGCTCAGACAAAGGAGGCTTGCTTACCTTTCACTGAAAAGGAAGAGGGGGATGCAGGAAAATAGCTATGGGTAGTTTAGGTGCCAAAAACTCAGTTGCAGTCCCATATGAGAATTAAAGTATTCCTTTAGGCTTATATAATGCCCTCAGGGCCAAACTTTCACTTTTTCTCACAGAAACAGAATTTACACCTGTGTTTAAAAGGAAATACTTAAAAAGGCTGGGCACTGGTGACTCACAACTATAATCCTAGCTACTCAGGAAGCAGAGATCAGGAGGATCATGGTTTGAAGCCAGCCTGGGCAAATAATTCAAGAGATCCTATCTTGAAAAATACCTAACCCAGGAAAAAAAAAAAAGAAAGGTTGTTTAAGTGGCTCAAGTGGTAGAGTGCCTGCCTAGCAAGTGTGAAGCTCTAAGTTTAAACCCAAGCGCCCACCCCTCAAAAAAATAAAAAAATAATACGCTGGATCAACATTCTGGCCTAACAATGACAACCGAAGAAAGAAATTTGACAGGCAATTCAGTAATCCAGAATACTCACCAATCTTTTTGGGATATGTTCTTCTTATAAATTTGCCCAGAATTCTCTTTATAGGGAGGACAGATACATTTACATCGGACATCCTCAAAATTCTGTAACCAAAATGTTTATGGTTTATCATCAATATTCATCACCTGTCAAATATTCGCAAACCATTCTCAAATCTTTTTAAAAGTTACAAGTCCTCATCTGTGACTTATTAATTACAACTATGGATCACATGACAATCCAATTGTTAACACTGTCATCTGCCTGCCAGTAGAAAAACACACGTTTACAGTTATGCCTGTAAATAAAAATGCTAACAGCAAAAGAATAGAGGAGAACCAAACAAAAAATTATTCACAAACAAGTCACAATTCTGAGTTAGGGATCCAGCTCAGCAATAGTGTGCCTAGCATGTGTCAGGCTCTAGTGTGTCTTTTAACTACTACCCTTTTGCCCTTTGGTAGAAAGGCACTAACATGAATAAAATGGGTTGGAGTCAGAATACTAAAGAAGGGATGAAGTTTTAGAGTCACTTAGTTATAACTAGAAAGGGAGAACATAGGGGAAGTAGTTTGATTCTAGCTGAGATCAGCTTGGTCTGTTCTCAGGAATCTGTTTCTATTCCCTGGTTGACAGAGAGGACAACTACTAGCAAAACAAATTTCAAGAGGCAGAGGAAGAGGCGATTAAATATTTGGATAGAGAATAGGAGATGCATCCTCAGCAAAGGGGAATTTATTTGAGAAGATAGTAGTTCCCACAGAACCATGCCCACTGCTCCTATATCCAGTGAGACATCTAGCAGAGCTGTTGACAACTCATAAACTTAATCAACCACTTAGTATGCGCCTACTCTGTGCTAGACCTTGTGCTCAGTGAGGTGGACTCAGATAAGCATAAGACGTGTTTCCTGCCCATTAGGACACACCCTAGCAAGGGGAAAGTGACAAATATTTGATGATATACCACACAAAATGATGACGGACAGTATGCGGAGGGTGCCAGCAACGTTTTGAAAGTCAGGAGACTTGCTGCTGTCCCTGTTTATGGCAGGAAGTCAGGAAAGTTTAAAAAAGAACCCCTGACCAAAAACATCTGCCTGCCTGTAACCTGTCTTTCCCAGTTCTTCTACTAAAAGATATTATACATTAAAGCTCCTATTTTTTTTTAAAAAAATGCAATGTCATTCTGTTTTTCCAAGACATTAATGTGAATTCCTTCCATTTTGAGTTAGCTCACCAAAGGGGAAGCACATGTATGCATAAATCAGGGCAGCTCTGGAGAGTCAGGGTGCCATAGAACAGCATGTGGGACCAGAAGAATCAAGAAATGGAACTGGGGAAAAGGTCACAACCTCCCCTTTTGTGTAGTTTGGTTTCCCCTTACCCCTTAAATTATCAGGAAGAGAGAAGGCGAGAAGGGAGTTGGCAAGGTCCTGGAAAAAGTTGGTGAGAATATCAAGCTGGAGAGAGGTACTCTGCAGGTTCTCTTGGGAAAGGGGGCTGCCAGGAGAGCAAGTCCCCCAGTAGGAGGGACATCAGTTCAGGGATGAGTTGAGGAAAGACTTCTGTGAGATGAGGGCTTCCTAGCATATGGTTGCGAAGCTGGCGAAGGGTGGGGCGAGGCTGCTGGGTCTTCGGGGGTGCAAAGTTGAGGGCTCTCCGGAAAGGCCATAACGTCTGAGGTGGATGCTGTCTGGGCTGGGAAGGGCACTGTCGGGAGGCGGAAGAGTTGCTGTCCCGGCTGTGGGCACTGCCGGGGCTGGGGGCGGGTGTGGGGGCTGTGACTGCCAGGCAACCAGCGCCGGAGGTGGGGGGCGAGCTGTGGATCGGGGTCTCGCCGTCAGGGCTGGAGTGGACAGCAGGCTGGCAGACCCAATTTCCGCCAGGCCAGAAGCAGGGGAGGAGCTCCTGTCAGGAGCCTCCGCTGGGCGGGACTCACCTTGGCGGCGTCTGTCAGCTGCACCAGCAGCAGCACGGAGAACGCCAAGCAGGACAGGCCGAGCACGGAGCAGAGCCGAAGGAGGCCTCCCCGCCACGCGGTCGCCATCGCGGCAACCCAGAGGCCGCCCCCAGCCCGGAGCCCAGAGACCTGCTCCTGGCTCGGGACCCGACTCGGGATCCTCCGCCCGCACTTCCGCCTGGGCCTTCGCGTCACCGGCCAGCCGGATCAACAGCAAAAAGTATCCGCCCCGGAAACGGTTCCCGGTGCGAAGGGTCCGGAGGCTGCGCGGTCCGAGCGGAACGGGGCCGCTCTCGAGAGGCAGCCTGGGCCTAGCAGAGCTTTTTTTTTTTTTTTTTTTTGACTTTTCTGAAATTTTTTTTCCCCTTTTTCCTAGCAGAGCTTTGAGGAGCTCGGATATCTTCCCCGGGCGCAGCTGGGGGAGTCGCCAGTGCACTGGGAAGTCCTGTCCCTGAGGGGGACTGCGGGGAGCTCGGGATGGCAGACCCAGGCCCCAGATGCTCTCGCGGGGCGGGAGCAGCACGCGGCCAGCCCCTGGAGGCCGGGGTGAGCCTGGGCCCCAGGAATTGCTGCGAGGGCCCATTTGGGCCTCCGCGTGGAGACGCGGCCGGGACTGGCCGAGCATCTTCCCGGAAAGCCCACCACAGGTCGGAGGTACTAACCTGCGGCCCAAGCGCCTCCTGCACGCAGCTCCCCGCCGGGGTTCTACCGGCCTTGGTGAGCGGCGCACGTGGGTGTGGCCTCCGCTTTGGGCTGACCGTCGTGGCCCAGCCCGCAGCCAGCCGGGGGGACGCCGCCTCCGCGGGGCTGCGCGGGCCCAACTCTGGCTCCGGAAGATGTGCGGGTGACCAAAGGACCGCCCCAGCAGCATCCTCCGCCCAGGATCCCAGGAGGTGGGGAATCGGGGCGCTACGCCCGGGTGCAGCAGGCCGTATTTAGGAAGGCTGACCCCTAAGTCTGAGCTGGGAGAACGCTGACCCGACTCCTCTGGGCGCGCCAATCTCCCAGAAACTCCTAGAGAGGGTACGATGTTTTCAGGTCGTGGAGACCCGGGAAGTAGAGGAAAGGACCTAGGACCTAGGCTCGTCACAACTTGTAGGGATTTGCCGCATGACCTTGGACAAATCCCTTCTCCGGGCCTTCGGTTCTTGCTCAGTAGGACGGATTGAATTGTATGATTCCCAGAATCTCCCATGACACTCATGTTTCTTTCTCTAAACAGATTCATTCATTCATTCAATACTGGGTTGTTGAACTCGGCGCCTCGCGCTTGATCGGCAGGTTGCGATCCACCACGTGAGCCATTCGTCCAGCACTTTAAACCGATTTAAAAAGTGACCCTTTCCTAGTTTGTGAAAATGTTTTAATTAACGGGTAGAACTTTCTCAGCACTTTTCTCCCATGTGATTCTTGTTGATGCTAGGCGAGAATCTTAACACAAACTGTTTGCTATTGCACCAAATATATTTAAGCCCATTTCAGTCCCAAATGGCAAGATCAGGGCTAGATACCTTCTTACCTTTTCCTGTGAAGATGCTGTCACATTGGTGAATTATCACGTCCTAGTGGGGTTCTGCTGGCCAGAGAACTTGGAGACACCCTGGTTCAAATGTTTTAGTGAAATACTGCGGCACTGTGTATTTGATTGCTAAAAGCTAACTCTGTTCGAAATCTGGGATCTGTTCAGGGTTGTCTAAGTCTGACATCTAAAGGGAATGCTCATTCTTTGGCTGAAATCTCATAGCCTTTCTCTTTCACCTTCAAAATTGTTTTCAAAGCCTTGATGGGGATACAAAGGTTTAGAGGAAATAAACCATAATGCCTTAGACTGATGGGCCTATTTTTTATTTTTTGAGAGAGGCCTTATTATTTTGCCCAGACTGATCTCAAACTTGTGGCTCAGGTGATCCTCCTGCTCACCCTCACGAATAGCTGGGATTGCTGGTATAGGCCACTATGCCAGGCCTGCCTCATCTGTTTAGTGGAGAAACACCAACTATACTCTTTCAGTCTGGGCAGAGTTTTGGAGCTACACTGTCGGATAACTACATCGGGCAATTGAGCATTTGAAATGTGACTAATCTAAATCGGACTATGCCATAAATGTATAATGTACATTGGGTTTCAGAGACTTAGCATGTGAAAAAATTGTAAAATATCTTAATTTAAAAATGCTGAGAGGTGTGGCTCAAGCAAGTGGAGTGCCTGCCTTCCTAGACTTGAAATCGTGAAGCCCTGAGTTCAAACATCAATTTTAAAAATGCTAATTAATGTTTAAATATTTTGGATATATTCTACTTAATGTGATTATTGAATTTCACTTATTAACTTCTCAAATGTGGCTATTGGAAAATTCCGTATGAGGGAGTACTGTTCTAGAATACACAATGTAGGCTAGAGGTATGGCTCAGCAGTAAAGCACCTGCTTGGCAAGCATGAAGTCCTGAGTTCAAACCCCAGTACTGCCAAAAATAAATAAATAAAACACAATGTGGCTGTCCTTAGTGGTGTGGGACTGTAAGGTGGTTGCCTGACTACAGACTGAATAAGATTCAGGACAAGGTAAAAAGAGCAGTGATAGGAAGGAACTGGCACAGGTACAGCTGAGAGTTTGGGAGAAGTATATGCCTGCAAAAAAAACCCAAAAAGAATATAGTTTCAGGTGACTCACAGAAGTGGAAGGGTTGGTTTCTCTTGTTTTGCCTCACTTATACTTTGTAACTTTTCTTTAGGTCAGGGGTCTTTTAAGCCAAAATACTTTCCCTGTTAGGTGTACTTTTCTGTGTTTACACAAATCTCTTTCCTAACTTACTCTAACTAGTAACATGTTTTCATATATGCCTTCATATTCCCAACCTCCACTCTCTGAGCATAGGGACCTTCGTATCTGGAGACTGAGATCAAAATAATAAATGTGTGGACCAGGGAAAGGGAAAAGGGAGTTAGAGACACTCCTTTAAGACATTCTCAAAGTATCAGGCACTTACTTGAATCCTTGCTTAATTTCTTTCTGACCATGAGAGGTGAGAATGAAAGGCCCAAAGCACAAAAGGTGGGATCTAGACCTGGGGCACCAGAGTAGGCAGGGAAGGGAAAAATCACTGACCTAGGATCCATTTGGTGTTGTTGTATTTATATGCAGGACTGGTCTTAGTACCTGCCCTTTTCCTTGCTTCCCTATAATTAGGTTTTCCTACTCTATCCCCTCCAAGTGCTCAGATTCAACTCAGGGCCTCATGTGTGCTAGGTAGGCACTTTACCACTGAGCTACATCCCCAGTCCTGCTCCACTTCTCTCGAGTGACAGAGGTCCAGCTGTACCCTCTCGCCTGACCTGGGTTCTCGCTCTCATTTTTGTGAGGCCTGAAAAATTCTCTTGTGGGGTATGTTTAGGAAAACAAGAGGATCTTTCTCTAAATTTAAGTGAAGTTAGACAGTTAAGAAGCAGAGGTGAAGCTCTGCTGTGGGCGTATTCAGGCAAATGTATCTGGGAACAAGGCTTTGCCAGCTGTCTGCAACCCCCCCATCCCCATTCTCCTCCAGTGATCAGTTAGCTCTTTCCATGCCCTTTCTTTTTCCTCTACCTCATCCTTTCTGAATCTAGCCAGCACTTGCCAGCCCACACCAGTCCAGGAATGGAGTCATGCTCCATGCATCTCTGATGATGATTTCCTTAAATTGTGTCTGCACACACAGTCCTTCCATCCAGTAATTTCCTAGCATGCCCTGGGGGCACTAAATGAGCAGTCTCCTTTATCATGTGTGTCCTTTTACTTAGCCCCCTTTAGTGAGGTTTTTCTACCCTCTGCTGCCTGTAAAGCCACGGGAAGTGTGCCTTACCATGCTTTTGTTTGCTAGTACTCACCTTAACAACAATGTATAGAGTCAGAATATTTTCTCTGATCCTAGAACTGCCTAGTAGTAGCAATGCTACTACTGCTGACAACTTACTTGGTCCTTAAAATAACAAAGCAGTACAGCTGGTATCGTTCAGTACCAAAGGAGGGAGACATTTTTTAGTTTCTTTCAAAGGCGGTGCTAAATCACTATTGTTGGCTTTCCAGTGTCTTACAATTCTTATGAGAATAGTCCCTCTTCTCTGACCACTATTTTCAAATAAATACATTAGTCATATTCATTTCGTCAACAAACTACATTTTTAAAAAAACAAATAGTATCACTAGACATACAAGGAAATATAGCAGGCCTTGCCCCAACCCTTGGCACTCAGTTTCTAATCTCCAGACTCTTTGTCTTTTAGTCATCTCTCTGGGATTTATCTTCATAGTTCTAAATAGCATGTTTATACTACTAGTTCTTAATTTTTCAGTTTGGGATATTGTTTTAGTTCTTTCTGTAGGAAGTAAGATATATTTATACTCTAAATCCTTCTAATAAACATGCATTATTTCTGCATCTTCTATCCTTTCCATTTATTCATTATTATTATTATTCATTATTTTATTACAAAGGTGTACACATTCATAGTTGATCCAATTAGCATACTATGATTACATTTCATTTGGATTGAAGTTAGCAATTGCCTCTTTCTCCAAATGCAAACTTTCTGGCATTCAAGTATCTAGAATTAATTTATTCCAAATTCTTTCAAGACATTTAAACAGATCATGTAATTATTCATTTAATTTTTTGTTTTTCCAGTGCTGGAGGTTGAACCCAGGGGCCTCATACCTTCCATGTATTTTCAAATTGTAGACAACTTTCCCAAAGTCTTTCATCACCCTTCATTCTGGACTAGTTCTCCATGCCTACCGCACAGCTTTTGTCCTGGATAATTTCACCCTGTCATCCCCATTTCCACCTTTTTGTTTCTCTGAAAGATTTCCACCTCCCAACTCTTCTTTTGAATTTTTAAATTTCTATTATCATGTTCTAAGTTTACTATAGTACTTTGCTTTCTCTTTTAATTTTTTAAAAATTCTCTTTTAAATTTTATTACAAAATGACAAATTATAATTGTATATATTTATGGGATAAAAAGTGATGTTATGACTATATATACCAATGTATACCATGTGAAATGATTAAGTCAACATAGCTGTAATCTTAAATACACAAAATACATTTTTGTGGTGAGAACATTTGAAACTTAGTTTTAGCTAGTCACAGTATTGTGCAATATATCTTGGAAAAACTTATTCCCC